GACCCGCCCATGTTGCTAAAATGCATTCCCTTTACATTTAAACCTGCAATCCAGTTGCCCGGACTTACTGTATCATTTGGGTTTGCCTCTGCTACATAGGTAGGGGTGTGAAAGAATTTATGGCCTATGACTGTACCACTCTAGCTAGCTATACAGTAACTTATAGCTCTGCTCCCTGGTTGGGCTTCTCTTTTCTCATCTCTTTGTTGCTTAATGTCAAGTTCTGAAGGTATAGAGAGCATTCAGCAGGTCTACTAGCCTTACGGAGCATTATTCATCCAATCATTCAAGAGGCTCTGCAGAGAGATTGCCCCTTTGGCTCTAATGTCGTACCTTACCATACCCATGAACAACACGCATCCTAGGTTTTTATTGTTTATATAGGGTATTTTGGGTATTGATTTGACTATGTGCAGCGAAAATATACAAGTTCCAATCAGTTAACTTAACCTAAAAGAAAAACTTCGATGGCTCGGATCAGTAGAATGCGACAACTAGTGTATATATAGTAAAACACTCCAATTCGAAAGTTGAGCTCCGATCTACAGCCACAAAGCAATAGAATCTATAGAGTACAGATAGAGTTAGTTGTTCCCCGCATAGTCTTTGTTTGTGATTGGCAGTGGAGCTGCGGCCTTTTTTGTTGGCAAGCTCTTTCTCCCCATTTCCTTGAATCCACGTCGAGATTTTTGCACTGTCAAGCTAATTTGTCCTCTGTCCTCGTTTACATTCAATTGCAGAAACAATCCCTATGTTTGTCAAACCCTTAACACCTGGCCGCACCGCACCGCGTAACTGCCATAAACACGCCGCTACCTCGAATAATACAAGCAACTCCACCACGATTCAAAGCTCCTGGCAGTCCTGACAAGCCCACGCCATCCCCAATACCTGCTAGGCTGGAATAAAGACAACCACCACCGAAACCATGCTCTCTCTTCCATTCATCACCCCACGCGACGTGAGCTTAACCTAGCCTCTACCCAACCCGAGATTCCAATCAGACGTTAACAACCCGACAGTCCCATGAACTCTGGTTCGGCTCCCCTCAGCCATACCGCGCATCGGCCGAACCAGGCCCCGGCGACAATGCTCCCAACCACCCCTCCCGCCGCAACGCCAATGGCACATCCAGCAGCCATCGCACATTCATGCCATCCCGCTCACCGGGCAATACACTAGCCGCGCTAGTCGCAGAGGAACGGTCACTACGCGCACGGAAACAAAACATCGCGTCCTTTGGATATTCGTGGATCAGGCCGGCGGGATGTGCGAAGACAATGCTAGGCATGAAAGAGGAGGAGGCGGAGCGTGAGGAGGCGCTTCAAGCTGCGGCGGCGGAGATGGATGCCGTTGAGGGTGAGGGCATTATGGACGATGATACGGGGATGCAGAGGGCGGATGGTGAGGAGGAAGATGAGGGTATGGAGCGTGATTTGGATGATGATATCCCCGATGCGGATGTGGATGCGGAGGGACTCATTGAGGAGGGAGAGGAGGGGCTTGAGGAGGATGATATTGGGGATGATGAGGGGTACATCGAGAGGGATTTGGACGATGATATTCCTGAAGGGTTTCCTGACGATGACTACGAGGGTTCCGGGTTTTATGATGATGATGATGATGATGAGAATGAAGATTTCGATAATCAGCCTGATCTGGATGCGGAGATTCCTGCTGCTGATGGTGACATGAGTGGAGGCATGACGCGCGACTTGGATGATGATATCCCTGATGCGGCGGAAGGCTCAGAGCAGGAAGGTGAATGGCAGCATACGGATAGTGAGGAGGATCTGAGTGACGAGGATGAGGACGAGCCCAGTATCATTCAATCCCGGTTGGAGAACTTCCGCACCAGCACACCGAACAGTCGCGGTGGCTTGCCTCCTCCGCCGTCTATTCGTCGTCAGCCTGAGACTGAAGCCCAGCGCCGGTTTCTGCAACGTTGGAGTGGTGGAGGTGACGCCCTTGATTCGAGCAGTATGTTGTATGACGATGAAGACCTGGGCGCCTCCATCACTAGCCAGGGTAGTCGACGGAGCGGGTTTGCGAGACGGTTCCCTCGACACATTGGCGGTTCTAGGGATAGCCTGGAATAGGTAAAACTATTTAACAGTATCGCTATCGGTGCTAGGCTTTGTGGTTGCATGGCGTTCCATTGCATCAACGGTGTTTGTAGTGGGTTAAAAGACTTTGGGAGTTTTGCGGTGATTTATGATACTCATAACACGCTCTATGAGCGGATGCATTCAATATGACTTGAGCCTAGGATTTGTCTTATAGCCTAGAATAGTAACGTTCAGACCTTCAGGTCTCTAACCAGGACAACTCCCTGCGTATTTGATGCTATATGCAGTATGTACAGTCAAAGAACACCCAACCAGTCTCGGTCCACATTAGACATTCCTCGGTTTCTCCGCGGAGACCAGAGAAATAACCAATGTGAACCCTGATCACACCATGTTGTTGCTCAGAGAACACCGGTGCATAACAAATATCCCGAGACACTGGTAAGGTCTTATATAAACAGCTCAAAAGAATCCGTATTCCCAGAACACCGGAAGCGCTAAAGCCAAAATCCCTATGCTGAAAGTATTGATAAGTTGTGCGCATGCCCGGTGATCCACATGAGATCAAGTGGACGAGCATAGACCGGTTCTGCGTAAAATAAGTCAAGAGATTAAAAGGGATATAGGCGAAATGGATATAGTCGGCACGGAGGGAAGCGCAATACCGTCAACAAGAAAGACAATAGATACATGCGCTCAGAATATCCACACATAGAAGAATAGGAGGAAGACAGCGCAGAAGAACCCGAGCCATACTCGCCAGCCGACGCCGGTGCTCTCGGCCATGCGAAGCATGCGGTTCATGTTTCCTCGGATTCGGACTCGGGTGTTTTCGAAAGAGCTGTTGAGGTCGTCCATATGTGTGGTGTCGCGAATTTCATCGCCAATTGCAAGTGTAATCTAAACCATCCGGTTAGCGACTGGGCGCTTCAAAATAGCAGTTGCTATCGCCTAGTGTGCAGGCGCGTGGATATCTTACATCCTTCAACATCTTGACTTTAGCGCTGATGCCTTCGACTTCGGCATCATTTTGTGATTCGAGTGATGAGAGAACTGCGTCGGAGTAATGTCCTCTGTAGGTAGTTCCAGTCAGCAACTGAACTCTCGAGAACGAGGAACACGGAGGACCGAGTTCTTGACATACCTCTTGTCGGGTGATGCGTTCTGATATCCTCTCCCGGCTGCACCATTGTTTGAGTAGCCATTATGCGCTGGACTGGAATAGCCTCCATATCCATATCCGCCTGCAGGAGCTGGCGATCTGCTGGGCTGGCGGGAATCGCCACCGTATTGATCGAAGAGAGAGGAGGATCCGCGGGGATCACGTTGGCGCGGAAATCTGTTAACATCGGTCCGTATTAGTCACATGTATACCGCATGGTTGAGCCCAGGAGAGGGTAACAGAGGGTTGGAACTATACCGTGAAGCCATAACGCTTGTTAAAACGTAGCTTGGATTTGAGGCAGAGAAGTAGTATGGCAATAAATTAAATCGATAGTCCGTTACTGGCAGTCAAGGAACATTGCGCAAGGGTCAAAATCCAAGATAACCACCACCGTTCGAGTTCTCGATGCTTGCGGAGATAAAAACATCAAGGTGGCCATAGCGTTGTGTTTCGCCGCGGCACGTGATAGCTATAGTATTGGCGGAAATCCAGAGAACAGCGAACCGCAAGAAAACCACCTGGTTTAATGAGGAATACAGTAGAACTGGCTACTTAATTCAGATATGTACTGGCCTGGCTGTAAGGTAAAAAAGCCAAGAATTACTCTAGAATTTACATAATTTTGGTAGAAGCATAAACCAAGTCTTCGTCAATGGATTGCATTGAAATATGGATGAAGAACATCCTGAAAAACTTTCATTGATTCATTGTCATCACAAGTCGTGTGACAGGAGAAGATACATCCATGGGAATTTCCTCGACCGATCCGTGGCGCCTATGATCCAAAACAAGTCCCATGCCGCCCGGAAGTTTTATATGCATCAAGGTCGCTTAGTCGCGCATCTGGTCGTCATCATTGTTGTTATCATCGCGAGCCTCGTATTCCTCATCATCGTCCTCATCCTCCATGTCATCACCGAGGTCTTGAGCTGCCTCGGCGTAGTCGATGGTCTTGCCGCGGGTGCGGCGGCCACCCTGGATGATGTTGCTGGCGTCGATGGGCTCGAGGTTATCCTGTCCATCATCCTCCTCATCTGGAAAGATACCAAGTTAGTATCAGGTAGGGTCATTGGTGGCAGGGCGCATGTGGCATCGAAACACAGTTTGCCATGTAAATAGTGGGGTGCGTACCGTTGTCGGCCTAGAAACGCGCATAAAGTCAGCATGTAGAATCAGTTGCTGCAGGTGTTGCAAGCATACCATCTCGTTCTCGCTCTCCGAAGAGCTCTCTTCGTCCATGCTCATGTCCTGAGCAACTTCCTTGGACTTGCCCTTCTCGAAGGTGGCCTCGGAGGGGTTAGAGAAAGTCGCGTGGTCACCCATGATGGTAATTGTGGGAGGTAAGGTTATGAAAGATGGTGGGAAGGATGGTTGAGAAGAAGAGAGGGGGCAAGGGGAGTTAAAAGAATAAAAGACGGTCTGCAAGTAAGGTCTCCTCTCGAACCAAAACAAGGGAGTAAGGGCGAGATTCCCCTGCCTGATTGGCCGAGCGCACGGCTAATCGCCCCGTGACAAATCGTAGCCCTTAGGCATCTCATCTTGAAGTTTCTACTTTCTGGCTGTTTGTCCACATTCATACATCTGGGTATCAAACAAGCGGAGATGCTACTGAAGAGCATTTGCACTCCCAAATTATAACAGAATGATGTCCAGTAAAGGGCCATAGGACATTGTATCTGTATCCTCTTTCCTTTACCATAGATCATTTACTACTGATGGAGAATCTACCATATCTCTGACCAAGCAATATATTTTGGCTGATTCTATCAGCTATCTAGAGCAAAGCAACGCTCTACTGAGTCGCCATTGTTCCCCCACCAGTTTGGCATAGAGATTTGCTTGCCTGCTCCAAAGAAGAAGAAAATGAGCAACATATTGAGGTTGAACCCAGCATCAAAGGCAGCAGCAATTAGGTAATTATAGCGCTTCCAGACCTCAAAGTGATGGCGGTAGGCGCGATACATCACAATATAGCCACCGATGATGGCAGACGTATACCCAGTACTGATATTTCCATAGAACATAGCCAGACCTCCGAAGAAAATGCTCACGTTCCACAAGTCAATGCGCAGACGTGGGAAGAATCGATGGAAACAGTAAAGAATCGGGGGGATCACAGCTCCAACGAGGAATGACCAAGGGAGTGCGGCCATTTCCGACTCGCCAAAGAGTCTCTTCGGACCAAGTACAGCATATTGAACTCCCATTGTGTTCGAGCTCCGCAGGGATTGGCCTGTCCACTGATTCAGCGGGTCAGCTTTCTTGCCAGTCAGATAGTCGCCCTTGGTATCCATAATCCAGCGGATGACAAGGTAGTTAATTGGAACACCCATGCAGGTTCCAAAGATTTGAGAGAAAAACACTGTGCGGGGTGGGATATGCATATAGTGACCAATCTTTTGGTCCTGAAGCATATATTGCGCTCGGTACCAGGCGTCACCCGCAATGGAGCCGTAGACAGAAGGGCCGCACGGATGGTGATGGGCATCGCCTGCTTTTGTGTGGACCATATATCCGTACATCAGTTCGTTGAAGGAACCGGTCTCGAGCTGGTAGTTGGATATAGCATACAGCCAGGCGAATGGAACCACCAAGACGGCAGCGCTCGAAAGTGCCACAAATAAAGTCCAGATGGGAATGAAGAGGTATCCACACACGATGCTGGTAATCAGAGTAATAAAGGAAACCAAGAACAAGGCACCATACCACCACCACGGGATCTCTTTGTACTTCCTCTGGATAACGTTGAGGCGATCATGGTATTGATAGTGGATGCCTTCGTTCATCGACTTTTCCGAGTTCTCGGACTTGTGTGATCCGAAAATCTTTCGGAGATTGCCAGAAACCTGAACAAACCCAAATGTCAAAATCCAGGTGACTGCTGCTGGGAGTTTGGCATAGTCAAAGAAAGTCGCCCACACATTCTGCAGGCCCATGTACATCGGCCCATACTCTTGATATACAGTCTCGTTGAGGTGATAATCAGAGGTGAGCACGTCCAGGGTTGGGTAAGTGGTACCATTGGCCTGCATGAGGCTGTTCGACATAAGGCCGTGTTTATAGGAACCTAGGTTTCCCCACTTCGCTGCAGGAAGTAGCACCCAACAGTTGAAAGCGAAGGCCAAAAACAGGATGACCTGTGTCCAGAAGGGAGTGAGCATTATGGAGGATCCGTTCCAATTGACGTTAGACCAATCCAGGGAGAGATTGAGGAAACCCATGCCGCCAATTCCTGAGCCGACGAAATTGGCCACTGAGTTGTGAGGTGCTACCCAACAGAGGAAGGCGAGGGAGGACGTGAATGGGAAGACGTATTCAGGGAGGAACTGCCATGAAGTCATGCCCAGAAGCGCAAAGAAGAACACTTTCATCTGACGGCGAGCAAGAGCCGACGAGTTGTCTTGCTTACGGAATGTTTCAAACAAGGTCGTCTGCATCAGGGCCTTGGGCCAAATATATTCCGGGTCGGGGAGGAGGATTTGTCGTGCAAGGGCAGCAAACGAGTATCCAATCCAGACGATAGCAAGCATGAAGAAGATTGCAACGGCTGGATTGATCCGTTCTCCATACCACAGCTCTGCGAGCACGATTGGAACATATCCGAGATTATACGTAGCACCCGATGCAGCTGTCAGTGTGACCAACACATGCTCTTTGATACTCCACGGAGCTGGGTTCAAATTAAAAGAGAAGCGAGTACCGGGTATACCAATATTCCAAGTCGGGAGAACCCTAGCAAGGAAGTGACCGGCATAGTGACAGGCAATTTGAACGAAGAAGACGGAGTATGGGGCTTTGGTCGTGCGGAAGTAGCTCATTTGGGACAAGAACGCTCCGGGGATCACAAAGACGACCGAAAGTACAAAGTAGCGGAAGGTAATGGTGGGCAGACTAGGATCATCCTCCAAATTGATCAGCTGGCGAACTGACAAAGGCAATGCGGCGATTTCTGGGTTCTCTTGGGTTTCTTGTTCGATAGCAGCGGTTTCCCCTTGCAACTTAAGGTTCTCCTCATCTATGGAGATTTCTGCAACGTTTGTATTTTTGGGGATTGAAATATCTGCCCCGGTTTCAGCTTCGTCCTCGATCGGTTGGTCATCCTTATGTCGTTTCAAAGGAAACACAGCCATGACTGGGAAGCTGGAGGAATCCAGGTACCAACAAGGGAGTCAGTTTTTTTTTTTTGCCTTACAGGGCCACCTCGAATATTTATAAATTAGCGTTTATTATGGTGTGCGATCGGAGTAGATAATCGCAATTGTTACTACATAATGGATACCCTCTAGACTGTGCATTGTGCGAGGTACAGACCACTTATGATCCTCTAAACGAGCCCCTATTGGACTGCGATATGCAACTAATGGAGCGTTACATTGACCACGGACCGAGGAGCTTAGATGGGATAGGATTCCAGGCTAAAGCTTAGCGCTGATGGCGTTATCATAACTTCTTGGCTGTTCTGTTTTGACTGAGGCCTAAAAGGTGCTTAGACTGAGATGATTCAAGGCATTCCTCCGGGCTTTCTCCGAGTGTAATGTGTGAAACTTGAGATGATTATCAGAGAGAATAAAGAGGATACTCTAGGATGGAGATGGATGATTCGAAGTACCAATATGGAGGAGCAAACATAACAGTGAGTACTCCGTAGTCACGTACTGGGTAGCCCACGTTGGGTTTAGACTTAAGCTGATGTACGGAGTATGAAGCTTACGAATCCAACACTTTGGCAAGGCTGTCAAACCGGATAAACTAGAAGCAGAGAGTTATTCCGTTGGCACCTAAGGCAGAATTGTCAAGATGAGCTGGGCTAATGACGTAATCACAATTTGACTCAACCAAAGAGCAGAAAAAAGAGCATAATGTACATTTGACATTGAGACTGACAGAGACAAATATCAAATCTACCAACCTCCAAATGCCTTCAGATTCACTACATCATAGGGTATGAATTCATCATGACGCCCAAGAGTGACCATACCATACGCACCCAACCGGCCCAGACACCATAATGGAAGCCGTATTATTAGTATTATTGCATCCTAATACAAACACAGTACTTTCGAAATCATCCCACTAATTACATCATTTTTGCCCCGCCAAAATAAAAACACCGTCAATGAGTCAACGAACTCCCTTGTCGAGCGAGCATTGTGGACCGTGAGAGTTTGAGGATAAGGCAAAATGAAGTCATGAGTCTGTTCTGGATTCCATTGGACATCCCAAGAACCCACTAGAGTGTAGGCGAAGGCCATAGTGAGGTGTTGCTGGGGCATCGAAGCCCGTGGAATCTCATGGATCCACATGGAAGCTCTCCCCTACTAGAAGCTTCTGAGCAATACACCGCTCACTATATAGCAGGTTTTCGCTGCCCACACTCTGACTCTTCTTCTTTTTCTCTTTCACTTTTCAAATACCCTTTCCCCTGTACACTACCTCTACCTTGCCTCACGAATTTCCTTTCCAACTTTCCTTTTTTAACGATACACATTCACAATGGCTCCCGCCGTCGGTATTGATCTGGGAACCACCTACTCCTGTGTGGGTGTCTTCCGTGATGACCGCATTGAAATCATCGCCAACGACCAGGGTAACCGCACCACCCCCTCCTTTGTCGCTTTCACCGACACCGAGCGTCTCATCGGTGATGCCGCCAAGAACCAGGTCGCCATGAACCCCCACCACACTGTCTTCGACGCCAAGCGTCTCATTGGCCGTAAGTTCCAGGACGCTGAGGTCCAGGCCGATATGAAGCACTGGCCTTTCAAGGTCATCGAGAAGGCTACCAAGCCCGTCGTCGAGGTCGAGTTCAAGGGTGAGGTCAAGCAGTTCACCCCCGAGGAAATCTCCGCTATGATCCTCACCAAGATGCGTGAGACCGCTGAGGCCTACCTCGGTGGCACCGTCAACAACGCTGTCATCACTGTCCCCGCCTACTTCAACGACTCTCAGCGTCAGGCTACCAAGGACGCCGGTCTCATTGCTGGTCTCAACGTCCTCCGTATCATTAACGAGCCCACTGCTGCTGCTATCGCCTACGGTCTTGACAAGAAGGTCGAGGGTGAGCGCAACGTCCTGATCTTCGATCTGGGTGGTGGTACCTTCGATGTGTCTCTCCTCACCATCGAGGAGGGTATCTTCGAGGTCAAGTCCACTGCTGGTGATACTCACCTTGGTGGTGAGGACTTCGACAACCGTCTCGTCAACCACTTCGTCAACGAGTTCAAGCGCAAGCACAAGAAGGACCTGACTACCAACGCCCGTGCCCTCCGTCGTCTCCGCACTGCTTGCGAGCGTGCTAAGCGTACCCTCTCTTCTGCTGCTCAGACCTCCATTGAGATCGACTCTCTCTTCGAGGGTATCGACTTCTACACTTCCATCACCCGTGCCCGTTTCGAGGAGCTCTGCCAGGACCTCTTCCGGGGCACCATGGAGCCCGTCGAGCGTGTCCTCCGCGACGCCAAGATTGACAAGTCCTCCGTCCACGAGATCGTCCTCGTCGGTGGTTCTACCCGTATCCCCAAGATCCAGAAGCTCGTTTCCGACTTCTTCAACAAGGAAGCCAACAAGTCCATCAACCCCGATGAGGCCGTTGCCTACGGTGCCGCAGTCCAGGCCGCTATCCTGTCTGGTGACCAGTCTTCCAAGTCCACCAACGAGATCCTCCTGCTCGACGTTGCCCCTCTCTCCCTCGGTATCGAGACTGCCGGTGGTGTCATGACTGCTCTGATCAAGCGTAACACCACTATCCCCACCAAGAAGTCCGAGACCTTCTCCACCTACTCCGACAACCAGCCCGGTGTCCTGATCCAGGTCTTCGAGGGTGAGCGTGCTCGCACCAAGGACAACAACTTGCTCGGCAAGTTCGAGCTCACTGGCATTCCCCCCGCCCCCCGTGGTGTCCCCCAGATTGAGGTCACCTTCGACCTTGACGCCAACGGAATCATGAACGTCTCCGCCGTCGAGAAGGGTACCGGCAAGTCCCACAAGATCACCATCACCAACGACAAGGGCCGTCTCTCCAAGGAGGAGATTGAGCGCATGCTTGCCGAGGCTGAGAAGTACAAGGAGGAGGACGAGGCTGAGGCCACCCGTATCCAGGCCAAGAACGGCCTCGAGTCCTACGCCTACTCTCTCAAGAACACCCTTGGTGAGGGTAAGCTCCAGATCAGCGAGGATGACAAGAAGAAGGTTGAGGACAAGATCACCGAGGTCATCAGCTGGCTCGACAACAACCAGACTGCTGAGAAGGACGAATACGAGTCCCAGCAGAAGGAGCTTGAGGCTATTGCCAACCCCATCATCTCCGCTGCCTACGGTGGTGCCGCTCCCCCCGGCGCTGACGCTGGTGCCGGTGGTGCCCGCTCCGCCGACGAGGTCGAGGAGAAGCCCGAGGAGCTTGACTAAATGTCTCGCTCTGAGTAATTTTCTTTCTTCTTTGTTTGCTACTTGGCTGACGTTTCCTCTTCACACGTCTTGTTTTACGAACTTATGGGATTCGGTTTCTTTTTGCGCATGATTGACTGCATAGATACAAGGCTATCTTTTGGGATAAAAAGTCCCGTTTGAATCAAAATTTCATTTAATTCAAATACTACCTTCTTCCTAGTAGGATTCGTAGATTGCATCGTTATTGTAAAGTATCATGCTCTGCAGGTGGCTTGCAGTTGCATAGTTGCATAGTTGCGTCGGACTCGGCTTTGGGCAACTCGCAAGAGAGTATGTCCATTGCACCTTGCCCTGCCATTATCCCCTTGTACATTTTAGAGTTAAAGATTCTTCCTAATAATGGACTCGTAGATCGTAATGGCTTCAATTCAACCCAGTCCCCTTGTAAATGGACGACCATTTCATGTAGTTGTACAAATAGAATATACAGAATTCAACAATTAATATGGATTCTCTTTGAGAGTATCCCAAACTCCATACCCCAGATCAATTATTGTAAGTCCCGATTAAACATCCTGGAAGTCTCCGTTCCACCACCGTTGTAACCGCTGTCCACCCGTCTGCACGATGGTTCCGTAGCTGATTTCTGATGCTTTCTCGGGGTACTTTTCACACTGATCACGGCGTATACGGGTGAGAGCAGCAGAGACACCCATGGTCAGGGCGAAGAGGGGATCCGCGATCCTGTTCGTACAAAGCATTAGAATGCCCGGTCTCATCCGGGACATGTAGAACAATGAAGTAAATATATTGGAAGATTTCCCATACCTGGAAATAAGGTAGACAGGCATGATGCGCTAGTCCCTGGAGCTGATGGTGTATTCAGTCCGAGAGTCGTGCATTGAAGACCGAAGAAGGCTACATCACGTGATGTAGACATTGCTAGCTGTGGTAATTGACGGCCCTCCATCGTCCAGTTCCCCTCATATCCGCCATGCATCTCTCTCTCTCTTCCTTGCTCCTGCTGGGGATTAGCAGTCTGGTTTCTTCCAGCTCCCTAACAATTACCATCCCAGTCTCCAGTCCCCTCCCCAACCCGCACGTCCTACCCGCAACCACCCATGCCACTCTCACTACGCTTCCCTTCAGCAGCAAAGACCACATCCTCTCCGCCTCGCTGACCCGCTCAGCTTCATTTGTGTTCCATGATCTGCCCTCATCTCGTCCAGATGCTCAACCCGAGTCTTACTTGCTCGATATCCGCTCCGCCGGCGAATACGTCTTCGCCCCCTACCGTGTCGATGTTGCGGCCGATGGAACTATTCTCGGTGTCTGGGAGACTTTCCGTGGGAACCCATGGGACAATCGTGGTGCCGTGAAGTATGTCGTGGATGTTGCTGCGAAAAAGCAGGTCGATGTGGTCGTCGAGGCCAAGGTCATTGCCCGGAGAGCCTTCTATGAGGAGCGTGCTAAATGTGAGATTGTCATTCCCCCCATCCACATATCTAGCCTGCTGTATATCCTTGAATTATGCTAATCTTTCATTGAATCATAGTCTCGCCACTGAGTCTTGTCAAGAACCCTATGATCTTGCTCGCAATTGTTGCAATGGGTCTCATGTTTGGCATGCCCAAGCTGATGGAAAACAGTATGTCCACCAGCTCTTTCTTCTCAATGATGTTTCGTGACTGACTTCGATACCTAGTGGATCCTGAAATGCGCGCCGAGTTTGAACAGCACTCTCGCTCCTCGCCCATTAGTGGTGCCACAAACAATGCCATGGCCGGCGGCGGTTTCGACCTAGCCGGGTGGATGGCAGGTACCTCTGCTAACCCCACGGCCAACACGGATGCAGCTCAGAGTGGTGCAACTGGTAGGGATACCAGTGGCCCTGCCCGCAGGCGCGGATAGATACCTATCCCCTTTAATTTTATCTACCGTGTGACACGAGATTTTGGCATTGTTTCATGACCGGTTGTATGATACATTACTATCTGAAGCTGCTCATAGCTCAAGGAATTCAAGTTGGAATCGAATGCCGTTGAAAAGGCTAGAGCAGTTTGAAAGAAACAAAAGCAATCCTCCCCAAACCATATGTCCACAAGCGCCTAGAATCCTCCCAGGCTGCGTGGAACAGAACCTGAGAGGGAAAAGAAAAAAAAAGAAAGAAAAAGCAAACGAGCAAAAACGAGCTTAGAAGTCACCTCCTCCGAAGTCACCTCCACCGAAGTCATCACCACCGCCGCCATAGTCATTGTTGCCATAATCATTGTCGTAATCGTGGTGATCCTCTATGGCATCAGCAATCAACATGCCACCGAGCAAACCACCACCGACACCAAGAGCCGCCGCACCGGCAGTTCCCATGCCTCCTCCTTGCTTGCGAGGTGGTTGCTGCTGATAGTATCCACCTCCACCCTGCGGCGGGTACCCTCCATATCCTTGCTGCGGGTAGCCATACCCAGGCTGTTGCTGAGGATAGCCACCGTAGTATCCACTCTGTTGGGGAGGCTGCTGGGAATACGAGGCGTACTGCTGTTGAAGCCTGTGCGGCCGACTGCTTGAACTCTTGCCCATCAGCTTGCTCAAAAAACCACCCTTGCTGCGTTTCTGTTCCGGTTCTGGCATCGGACTTTGTGACGACGGTCCCGGTGCGTACCCGCTCGGGCCGGTTGATTGCGGCCGTGATTGGTCGTTGTAATAGTCTGTCGATGCGCCGGGAGCTCTAGTGCCTCGTGTGCCACCCCGGGCATCTTCCTCGGCCTGTAGCTTGGCGGCAAGTCGGGCGTCTTCCTCTATGCTGGGGGTGTTGCTGCTCGGTCCGGTATTCACAGGGTTGTAGGGGTTGTTTGAGCCCATATTCTGCTTCTTGTCTCCGGCACCGGCAATTGCAGCTGGGTCACCGGGTCCGCCATTGTTGTATGATGGTGGGGGGGAATTAGGTGGGAGGTTGTGGTTGTCATCGTCGCGCTGGGCGGCAGTCTCGGGTTTCTCCCATTGCGATTTGCCGGTGGCGAGGTTCACATAGAACCTAGCCAATTGTTAGTATTAGTATTTGCTATGTAGTGGGAAACAGATACATACCATGCGTGATATCTCTCATCGTACTGCGGTTTCCATCCCTCGGGTACTGAGGGTGGGGGAGGCCCTGAAGGTGGGGCGAACGACATGGGAGTATCTGCAACAAAGATAATGTAGCGAGATAGGGATCAAAGATACAGGAAGAAAGGTTGAAGCTGAGGTCAGAGATAGAAAGATGAATGCAAATGGAAAGGAAAAGAGGGTCCTGTTTGTCCATCGATATATACTTGGGGATAAGCGGCGAGTGACAACCTCAGGCACCAAAGCAACGCAACCCGACTGCGCCTCGGTGGCTGTGCGATGATGTCATGTGAGAGTGTGTAAGTTACTCTTGGCATCACTTACTACCGTATCTCCGCTCCGCTCCGCTCCGAAGATGACCATGCACGCAGACTTGCCATTCAGCAGCGGAAAATTCACGTCCCTTCGAAATCATCTCTAAGGCCAATATATCCCCGAGTACGAGATCTATCCGAGGAGGATTCCGGATTTGTCTTAAATATCACGTCTATGACGAATCACGACGAAACCCCTAGCTCCGAGAGAGTACCTGGGATTTCGTGAATGCTGTGCCCGTGCACTGACTGCTCCATGAACCGAGTATACCGCGGAAGACACTGGATATCCAGCTATCTATCGCCCGTTGATGCTTCTTGCCTGGCTTCGTGTAGCCACCATTTTATGGCTTTCTGTTCCGGTTTCGATGACCTCTTAGATGAACCATTTCCTGGCGTCCGTAAAGGAGGGCCGGGCGAAATCTGCGGGTCGGCCTTTTAACTAGGCTTGCTCGCCCTTTGCCATAGTATTACCTCTGCTACGCCTGCTTAGGGTCGGGTTTGGACCCAGAGGACGACCGGCGGAGAAACCAGCAGGGCTGGGCATATCAGAGCATATTGAAAACCAATGGGATGGTGGATGATCCGCGCATGCGATTCGAGATGCAACCGAAGAGTCAGGCTCTAGTTCTTCCCAAGCTTTATCAGAGGAGAACATGTTTCTTCGGTACGTGTCTCTTTTGCGAGCACCGCATTTTCGAACTGTCATGAGACGACGGGGTTCGGGGTGGTGATATCTTCAAGGAAAAGAAGACGAGGTCGAGGATTCCCAATGTATTGTCATTGAAAGGGAATTCACCTCTTATCCAGAACTAGACACGATTTTAGTGCGAAACGGCGATGATCTTACCTTGTTGACTTGGCTATGTGAGGTAAGGCAGGGGCACCTCATGTTCTCCTGGTGTGCATAGAGGGCTGTTTCGGGACTCCGGTACGGCCTCAAGCGCATTCTACTCACTGGTAGGGCTAGACATCATTGCTAACAAGTTCCAGCTTACCACACTTACGTCCCTTTCTTTCGGGGAAAATGTTCTTTTATACTATATTTCCCAGAAGGCAAGAACTTCATGGACTTCAGGCATAAGGTCAATGTACAATTTAGCCACCCTTTTCCCAATGGCTTTCTCCGTAAAGCTATGAAGAAGTAGTGCACGGAATAAACAGACTTACAGGGCAAAGCGACTAAGTAGGGGCTAGGTGCGCAATAAAAAACCCCCGATAGATCACTGAGTAATCAGTGAGTAGGCTACTGTGCAATTTGTATAAAGTGTTCTGCCACTTATCATTTACTATGATTGGCTTTATATATGATTTTACCTCTGATATGTGAGAATAGTTACGTATGTCTAAATTGATTTGACAAGCGTCAAAAAACATGGGAGTCTCCTAAGATATACTATATCCGTTCAAATCAAAGGCGCCTATGTTATATATCAAAGTACGAAAAAAGAATGATTTGATCAAGTTAAATTATTGCTCAACGCATACACAATTATCATACATAAGCACCTAGCAACATAACACGCTGACATGACAAAGATGACTATTGTACTCCTTGCTAATGCGAGAAACGACAGAAGTTGAAGCACCTAGATTCTAGACTGTCTCCTGCTGAATATTAGGATCATAAGTCCCACTACCCGGCCACCAATGATCTTCTTCGAGGGCCTCCTCGAGTTCGGCAAGGTTGAATCTGGGCGGTGATAGTGAGAGACTCAAATCCAAGCTCTCACTAGCTGTCTCACCATCCGAGTCGAGAGTCAAATCAACGCTTTCGGTATTCGTAATCAATAGCTCTAAAATAGATCTCTTTTTCTTTCTGCGAGGGCCATGATCTTTTCTCTGGCTCCTCTTTCTCTTACTCGACAGAGAAAGATTCGGAGAAGACACAGGCGAGCGGCTTGCCCGATAACGACGATCGGCGGAGCTTTCGGTGCTGACACGGACTGGCAAAGAAGTGCATCTCCCATTTCGAACCTGAGCATTCTTGATTTGATTGAGGATCTCACAACGTTGATTCGCATCAAGGGTGGGACGGTCTTGAACTGGCGGACCATCGAGCTGTTGGTCTTGGTACTTTTGAAGTAACGGGACATTGCCGAGCTGGGTATAGGGTGTGTTGTCTTCGAGCTGGCGGGCCCACGAGGCAAAAGGTCCAATGTAGGCGGGACCTTGGCCCACACCAAATAGATCATGTCGCACAAGCTGACCAGACGATATGAGATCGTTGGCAACTTCGGCGCCGTTTATTTGTTCCTCTGGGGGATATGGGGCAGCCTCGAATTTGAAATCGGTGATTTCAGGGTCACCGCAAGGTCCTGAGGACAGCACATGAATCCCTGTTCCGGAATCCCCCACGAGAATATGAGATTTGTCATGCGAGAATTCGGCGCACATAATCCCTGTGTCGAAAGAGGCTGTATTCTCAAGAAGAACATCCTCAGGTGAGCGGCGGATATCCCATCGTTTAAGCACGCCATCTGAGGCGCCAGTGTAAAATTGGTCCACCGAGGCACCCCATAAAGCCACCCTCACACCGACGTCCGCTAGATCTCGACTTCTTTCGTGATCAATCGGGACAACGGGCTCTCCGTGACGGAGCTGATGAAGAATTTGATCCCCCTTGCGACTATCCCACACATATGTCACACCGTCTGTGCAGCTAGCTGTGACGTAAGTGCCAGTCGCATCTGTCGGACAAAAGGTCACCTCGTTAACATCGAGCGCCGGACAGGAAAATTCCATAACAGCTGGCACACGCTTCGAAAAATCACAATCCAGACTGAATACGCGCACAATGGATTTGATACTGGTTCCAATCCCTTTCATCCGTGCATTGTGTGCACTTACAGGGCTAGCTGTTGCAAATTGTGGCAATGAAGAATGCCACTTGATATCAAAGACATTTTGTGAATATGAGGTTCGGAGGGGCTCGAAACATGATTCACGAGCTTGCCATAAGCCCAAGTGTCCCTTGTAGCTTACTTCCTCACTAAGATCAGCCATACCTCCGGCTAAAAATTGCTTTGTGGAGGGAGTATGTCCCCAAGCTAGGACAGTTGATGTGAAATCAGCATCTGAATTGTATCGAGAATCCCGATCAAACGGAAGGGCCGTCGATGTGACATCTGTGGGATCCCGGGTATCCCAAAGTAGGATGGATTTTGTTCCAGTTGCTAGGATGCCAGGACCGATATTTGAGACAGACATAACTTCAACTCGAGAGTCATGTTGTAAAGTCTGGATACAGGGAGTCCTCGGGCGCGAAGTATCCCAGATCTTGACAGTCTTATCCCAGCTGGCGGTGAAGAGCTTGCTTCCCACCCACTGCATAGCAGTGACGCTCATAAACAGATATGGATCATTCACAGGTGAGAATGTTGGGCGGGGGATGCAGTGGTCCGGGAGTTCCTTCAAACGACTGGTTTGAAGATTGCCTAGGACAAGGTTGTTCCTTTTATTGTACTGCATATTATGTTCGTCCACATCAGCAGCGGATCCTGCCGCGAATTGGGTGCCATCAGGAGACCAGGCCAAGACAAGAAGATCTTTGGAAGCCCCATTCCACGTCTTCCATGGCCGTAGATCCGAGATCATATCAACGTCAATAGGACGTTGTCTTCCCAGCTCCCGACCAAAGAGAAGCTTTTGGGTATTCGTGCGACGTGGCACAATGCGACTCGGCTGTTGTGGAGGCGGTTTTGAAAGCGTGTCAGTTGGCCTTGGTGTGCCACGATTTGTCTCAGGCGGCTCTTCAGAGCCAATTCGAATGCGCGCGTAGTAATTGGCCGGCTGGGCTCTCGTGCGACCAGAGCGACGAACCGAGAGCTGATCCATTGGAGAAGCTGATCGGGAGAGAGACTGTTCTGAGTCTGGGCACACGATAGGGAAGGGATCAGGGAGAGGCGGAGTTTGAGACGAGGGTATCTCCAACACATCGTTCTTATTTGCATTTGGGATCGCAACTAGTTTCCTCGGTTTTGAACGCGTCTCGCGACTGTCCCAGTCCTGGGGGATGTCTGAGGAAGGAGCGACCTGCGTATGGGAAGGAGCGATGGGTGTCCCATTTTGGGAAGGAGCGACCCTGGGTTGAGATGCGAATGTGCTTTGTGAGGAGCTCTGTGGGCCTTCGCTTTGTGAAGCTTCACGCTGCCGTACATCTCTCGCCTTAGTGTTGAAAAGAGGTTTTAGCTCTGAGCTTCTAGATTGCGAAGAGCAAGCTGAAAATTGCAGCAGCAAGCGCAAGGTCTCTCGCTGGACGTCTGGATTTTCCGGGATGCTTCGGGCTGTGAGGCCACGGAATATAGGGAGTTGGCCATTGATGTTAGAGATGCTTTGAGGCATCATAGGCACTGGGCTCAATCTGAAGAAACCAAATCAGCCATGGCTCGTTTGAAAAGAAGAAGGGTAATATACCTGTTTCAGTTTGCGAGTAACGTCGATTCTCACTCACGTCTGGCTTTGGGTAATTCCAGAGTGAGAGAGACATAACATCGGCCCTTTCAATTTGTATCACAAAACTGTGGTCTTGTCTTTCGCCCAAATGTTTAAGCCCCTAGGCTTCTATCCTCTTGTTTCGGCGCAAGCAAGTCTGTCGTTATAGTTGGTATGAAAGAAGATAGATGTATCTCCTTGGATGAGCCTGCCTCTTGAGGACTCGAGATGATGCTTCTGCTAGATTCCTAAATCCGAAGAGCCAAAGCCAATGACACGTTGAGCAAATGATGAGCTTTCGAAGCAGTCACAAAGAGTCAATCGAGAATGCGATGATCGAAAGGTGGGTTGGCTAGAACATCTGATCCGTCAGAAGTTTCCCATTCGGAGGAATCGAACCACAGAAAACGGAGAGAGGATTGTAGATCGAAGACAATATCAAGCCTTAAAATATCAGTGGCAATGTCTGAATATGTGATGTCTTGAAGACAGAAAGATACAGGAGACTCTGTGGAGTAATTGAGCAGAATCGCGTCCAGACGCGATAACGCGGAAGAATCGCGTGGGCGGTAAGGCGAGGCGGTCAGGAACTATAGCAGCATCTCGACTTCTCAGTTCAAGTTGAGAAGGGGTTATTGAGAATGCAACGGCTGTAAAGCAAGGGAATAAGAGGCTAGTCCATGAACTATACTGTATAAGAAGCTCATTGGGGCAATTGGGGCAGCAAATACTGAGACAGGGAGAGGATCAAAATGACTTCAGATTAAACTACATAGTTGCGGGGTATCACTTCAAAGGAAATCCCCAAGAATATACATGGGCACAAAGCCTATGCATGGAGCGAAGCACCAAGTCACAGTTTTTACAATGTGAAGCAAGAGCAAAGCCCACATCCAGACAAGTCCCTAGGACTAATGAGCAGAAATGAGCCGACATTGGTTTCTTGCCACTATATGTGGCGAGAGAAGAGAGGCTCTATCACAAAGCGCATAAGAACTAGGGCCATAAGGCATCGTAAAAGCCTTGAAGTCCGGGAAAGGCGGTTTCTCGCTTATTTGCCGAGGCGGCCTCTCTTGCGGGCAGAGACCATCATATCATACAGCACATCTTTGAAGGCAAATAGGAATGCGGCAGTAATAGCACTCTGAGTGACCTTAGGACCAATGCCTAAAGAAAAAGACAAGAGTCAGCGAAAAGCAACCAGACATACTCTATAGAACGTCTTACCCTTGTAAAGCCCCTTCCATCCCTCTTCTTGAATAATCCTCTTCAAGCTTCCATTCAAACTCTCCTTGGGACCATCCTTGCTGGCCACATGCATCCTGCTCTTAATGGTGATATAGGGATAGGTGATGCTGGTAGCCATGATCTTGCCGAGCGCACCCAAGTAGAATGCATCCTTGGGTGTCATCCGCCGGCGGCGCTCTACAATGTTCTTTAATTGCTCGAAGATGGTGTATTGCAAGATTGGGTTGATCACTAAGACCAACGCCGGGAGGACACCAGCGAACAGGGCCTTGGGGCCCTCCTCTCGAAGCAGGTCCATGAGGGTGCTAAGGGTGGATGCCTTTGTCTTCTTGGCACCGGGAAGGGCTTGCTCATCGGCCTCAGACTTGCGGGCAGTCATGCGAGTGTTGATAACCCAGATCGGGTTGGTGATTAGCACGGTTGCGCTCCCTGCAATAGCACCAGCAATCATAGACTCAACAGTCGTGAGCTTCTTGGATGCTCGATTTGATTGAATTGCTGCCTTCTCGAAGGCCGAACGAGTAAACTCGTACCAGTAGTAGTATACGAAGTTGGTCACGCTGATCCCGAACAACGCGGACTCCAGACCCGAGTAAAGCCCGGAAATACCCTCCCTCTGCACAATGCGGCGTACAGCATCAAGGGTGGTCGAGTGTGCGCGCTTCGACTCGACCTGGGCTCTCGTCGACAAAGTGATCAGAGGGTATCTAGAGTGGAGATGGGGTTAGCGACATTCGTAGGAGTCAAAAGGCGGGGAAGCGCACGTCAAGACCATTGACAGGATTCCACCTCCCGCACCAGACAGTGCGTGCGCAATGTTGTCACTCTGCTGGACAGCAGCAGATGCTGCCGCCTTTCTCTGTTCTGCTCCTGGCTGGGACATGGTGAAAGGAAGGAGGCTGAGGATGACGGGGCGATGGTAAGATGACAGATGACAGGCGATATAATGCGCAAGAATCAAAAGGAGTTCAAGGGGGCAAATGGGTGAAAGATTAGAAGTCAGGAGTCAGGAATCAACCTAATACAGGGAGCGAGAATGATTCGGCTGGGGGACGTTCATGACGTTTTGCCGAATGAAGTGTGCCTCGGCTCCCGCCCAACTCCACTTCCGGGAGTAACTTATAAGGGTGCATCTGTTATAGTAGAGCCTGAGTTCGATCTTGGGCTGTTTCACATGGTATCAGGTGTCTCCTTTCGAGCATATCGATATCTCATACTTTCTAAACATGACATTTGCATGTGATTATATCAGCGCCTAGGCACCACAGCTCTACATTGTAGTTTACAGTTTACAAAGGCCGTGGCCGAATGCTCAAGTTCTCGCCATTAGTCCATTCACAAGAAAAATCCAACGTACAATAAGAAAGCGAAAATAGAAAATAAAGAGAAGACACGGAGAGAATGATGGGCCAAGGAAGTCAGAGACGTGGTCAGAGAAGCATGAAAACGCAGAAGCCAGCGATAATCGCATACGCAAAAGCAGAAACGAGGACAAAACGCAGGCCGTCTAAAGCAAAGTGAAGACGAGTAAGGAGCCCCAACGGCACTGTCGAGTTTGCTGGCCCCGTAGAGAAGTCTCCGGGCTCGTCTGGACCATGCCATGTTTCAAAGAAGTTTGACAAGCCTGCCGATTAAATACCACGCTTGGAAACCCTCATTTCATGATGTAACATTGCGCCAAATGGAAGCACCGCACCACAGAGAATATCGTGTCATCTAGCAGCAGCCGCCTGCAGATCCGGACTGGACACCTTGCCCCTGGCCAACCTGAACAGTTGGCTTGTTGTTCACGGTGGCCGTTCCCATGCGCTCCTTGATCTGTCGTGCCATCGTCAAGAAAGCCTGCTCAACATTCGACGCGTTCTTGGCGGAGGTTTCGAGGAACGGAATTCCAAGGCTATCGGCGAACTCCTATAACGGTGCAGACAAGTTGGGTTAACGCTTTGATTCTGATTGTAGGCACCGGTCTTTAAATCTAGCCCGAACAGCATACCTTGGCCACAGTGTATTCCACGACCTTCTTGTCCTCCATATCACTCTTGTTACCAACAAGCAGCTTGTTGACGCCCTCGGTGGCGTACCGGTCAATCTCCTGGAGCCACTGCTTCACGTTGTTGAAGGAATCCATGTCGGTGACATCGTAAACCACGCAGATTCCGTGAGCGCCCCGGTAGTAGGAAGATGTGATAGTGCGGAATCGCTCCTGGCCGGCGGTATCCCACTGCATGACGGTTAGCATTTGCCTCGAAATTATCTTGTGTCCAGTATAGCCGTACGATCTGAAGCTTCACAGTCTTGCCATCGAGTTCGATTGTGCGGATTTTCTACAGCAGTCCATATGTCAGCACCCTTGTAGGCCAGATACCCCGCGGATTCCAAGACGTACGAAGTCGACACCAATGGTCGAGATGTAGCTTTCGGTGTAGGTATCGTCGGCAAACCGGAGCAGCAAGCAGGACTTTCCAACACCGGAGTCACCGATGAGGAGTAGCTTGAACAGGTAGTCATATCTATTTGGATGGGTTAGGCAACAAACGCAGATCGGCAAGTTTGGGGGTTCGGTTGAAGGAAAATCAGGCGACGCGACGATACTCTAAAAATCAACATCACATCAGTCAGACGCCACGCACTGAGAATTAGGATCCAACCCGGACTCCTTTGGCGCAAGGGGAATTTGGGGGAATCTCCATGAAGGCTTACCACTCGGGATTCATTATGGGCACAGGAAACCGGTAACACGGAGAAAGAGAAGTAAGTCGAGGACCGAGTCCAGAGGAATATAGCCAGGAAAAGCAAGTGATGGAAGAGTTCGAAGTGCTAAGTCGGGGGAGGGGACAATGATGGAACAGTCGCCTGAAATGATAGGAGGTGCAGGTGGCCAGACGCACCTGATGTGCAGCTTTGTTTCACGTCACAACCCACCGCTCCTTTGGGTCAGGAGTATACTATAAAAAGCTAGAGGAGCCTCTATAGGCAGTTTGATTTACTGACTTGTCTGGAGATCTGCTTGAAACAGGTTGGATAATCTCATGTCACCTGCTTCCCCAACTGACGCTATCCCGTGCTAAACTCCGCCTCGTGGGTGGATCTAAATACTTTTTGAGGTTACAGCAAACAGACGAAGCCCCCGCAAGATAAGATGTGACAGAAACGAAAACTCCATTGGATTCAAAAAGAAAGAGTATTACTAGACGATAGATCCTAAACGTGTATTTAAGCGTAGCCGTGAGCCCGCAGCCATTCGAGAACCAACGCCTCATCGCGCTCCTTGTAGGATGCATTAGTTCGAATGTTGTCCGCGACAATGACAAGAGCGCGGTCATAGGCGCCGGTGTCTTTGTCCTTGAAGAAGGCCGTGATGTCATCACTGATCTGGTGATCGGCGAACTTTGATAGGCCCATGCGAACAAAGCGCTCAAAGACAACGTTATTGAATGACAGTCGAGTAGAAACAGCAGTCCAGTTGTCCTTGATGTACTGCCACAGCAGGTGGCGGACCTTAGAATTGGCGGCCAAAGACACAGCGCCGCTGTGGATGTCCTGGACAGCTACCTTATCCGAAAACACAAAGTCCAAGTACTCCTGCACTAGGGCGTGATCCTTGGTGCGACCAAGAGCAGACAGGCAGATCTCCTTTCCATCCACGGAGTCGGTCCGGAGATATTCCTCCTTGACGGCATCAAACTCCTTACGGCCACCCTCCGACACATTGATGCTGAAAATAGTCGACCGCAAATTGGTGTGGATGGCATTGACATCTTTGCCCGTAGCCCAGAGGTCGAAACGGCGTTTGGCCTCCGAGACAAAGCTATAAGAGTTGAGACTGTATCAGAATAGACGCTCAACATATTTCAGGTATAGAAAGAGGTACTTACTCTTTGTGGCCAGCATTGCTTGCCATTGCAATCAGCAACTTCCGGAGTTGCACAATGAGGTAGTCCTCATTGGTCTGGAACTCCCAGCCAGCCCTTTCAGCGGCCGGTGAAGCCAGCTTGAGAGTGAACTTCTTCAGTCCGTCGGCGACCTGCTCGTTCTGGGAGAAAACCGAGCGGAGATTTGCCAAAGATGAAGAGATCTGAGACCAAACACTGTAGATGGAATTATTAGGTAAAATAAACCTAGATCAGAGGGGGTAGGTTCCTCACAGGTAATTTTGTTCATCCTTGAACCCTTCCAAAAGAGTCAACAAAGCAGGCGTGGTGCCTTCTCCGGAGACTGCAAGAGCAGTTGCATCACCTAGTAGACCGATCTTGTCTTCGGTGCTCAGCAGATTAAGTGACTGACCGAGTTTGGCCAGGTGGCCAGGGGGGTAGTTAGTGCGATAGAACCCAGATAGGTCCTTGTTAATCTTGTAGAAAGTGTCCTCGCCAACTCCACCAACGGTGTCAGATTTTGCGGTGAGAGCACGAGTATCGACAGTGGCCAGCTTCGGTCCGGACTTGATGCCAAGAGGAATCCACCACTTTGTCTCATCCTCCTCGGGCTTTGCATCGCCAGTAGACAGGAATCGGTTCTGTCGAACGCTGATCTGGCCAGGTTCCTCTGCCACTGTGACAACTGGGAAACCAATCTTGCGGATCCAGGGATCCTTGGGTAATTAGTTAGATATCATTCCTCTCCAACAAAGGATCAACACTCACCATGAAAGAATGCACATCCTGACCAGAAGCCTTGCTCAAGGCAGACCACAGGTCATTCGTGGTGGCATTTCCTATAAGGAAAATTAGCAAATATTTGCGGTAACCTTCTTGTTCCATGTTTTACCGTATGCATGAGACTTGAGATAGTCCGCAACTCCGCGCAAGAAAGTTTCTCTGCCGAGGTGAACACTTAGCATACGAATGACAGAGCTTCCCTTCAAGTAACTGATATGATCGAAGATTTGGTCGACTTCGAGTGCATTCTTGACGGGGACCTCAATTGGGTGGGATGCGCGCAGCGAGTCGAGATGAAATGCTTGTTGCACACCTTCAGCCTGTGATAACGTCAACATTGGTCTTGGCAGGGTGTTTATTACCTCGGGAATTGCGTACGACGAACTGAGACCAAACGTTCCATTCTGAGTGCACGTCAGATATACTGGACACATAGGATAGAATAAGAACTTACCTGGGTAGAAATGATCAACAGCAAGCCAACCCACCCAGGTTGCGAATCCCTCATTCAGCCACAATTCATTCCACCAATCCATAGTGACAAGGTTACCGAACCACTGGTGAGCCAGCTCTGTGATGTATTGGTCAGCTAACACTGGTTCATTGATGTCTGGAAGCCTGGGGACAGATTGTGGGGACTAACCATGAGCTACAACGTAGGCGATACGGTTCTTGTAGCGGTTGTCAGACTTTCCTTCATCGAAAAGAACGGCGGTGGTTCGGTATGTCACTAGACCCCAGTTTTCCATGGCTCCCATGGCCTAGAGGCGGAATAATTAGCACAGAAAGGCTTCAGAAAATGTGGAAAATGACGGTCCCTTACGAATTCGTGAACAGCCAGGAGATCAGCCTTGGGGAGCGGGTACTCGATCTCAAAGACCTCGGAGAAATAGTCGACCGTACGGTGAGCACATTCCAGCGCAAAACGAGCCTGGTCCTGGAGACCCCGTGTGGTATAGACGCGGACAGGAATGCTCTTGCCCTGGTACTTGCGCTGGGTCATGGCCTCAACATATTCAAAGTCACCAACTGCCCAGGCCAAAAGCTGCACGTAGAAAGCTTGCGTTAGTGCTCCGGAATCCCAGCAACTCATTGAATCTGGGTTGTACTGACATAGGTGCTCATCACCGGGGTCTTCTCGAAGGTCACGAACTTCAATCCGGGGTTGCTTCCATCTCTTTCCGACTGAACAGGCATGTTGCTCAACGCAGTCTGTCCTTTCGGGACTTCAATCTCGAAGTCAAAGGTAGATTTCAAGTTCGGTTCGTCGAAACAAGGGAAAGCCCGGCGTGCATCACAGGACTCGAATTGAGTGCTCAACATGTAATAAAATTCGTCTTCCTTGGGAGTATCGGCAGATGGCTCTCCAACAGGCTTATACTTTGAGCGGTAGAAACCGGACATAGCATTGTTCATGGTACCGGTGAAGTTGATCGACAAGATAACGTTTGCAGGTGCGATTTCTTGCGAGAAAGCAAAGGTTACTCGCTCCGATTTCTTGTCGTAGGTAATATCGGACGATTCGGCCAACTGACTACCTAAGTGACAGACCAGTGTCAGTGTCTTCCATGCTCTATGTCATGTCGGAAATGCTCTCCCATGCATACCGTCTTTCCCTAGAATCTCAGCAGTCTGCACTTCGATCTCCTTCGAGTTCAATACAATCTCGCTGGTAGGGCTGGTGACCTTGAGATCAATCTTGACAGCTCCTTTGTATTCCCACGAGCCACCAAACTGCAAGTCGAAGAGGGAGACGTGGTAGTTGACAGGCTTGGCCCTATTACGGTGTTAGCTCTTTGCCAACAGGCATATTACAGAGAGAAAACGAGTGATCAAATATAGCTGTAGGAGATGGGAACCACCCGAGATATCTCCAGTGGGGATTCACTCACACGTCAGGAAGAGTTTCTCTGTCTTGGGACGCCATCATGCGGGCTTCAGCGGAACAATGTCTAATAGGGGTAAAATTGAGGTTTATTCTAGCAGCTGGTGCAGGTAGACGAGAACGCAATCGAGGGGAACGCAAGTAGGAAAGCGAGGAAAAGAGAGAAGAGGAGGGGGAGGGGCGGAGAGAGACTGGACGGAAGGCTTCAACTGCTACGCCAGCTCGTCTCGCAACGGATCTTCTCCCCCACATCGGTGGGTTTAGCTTAACCGTCTACGGCTATCGTCGGATACCTGAAAAAGAAAACGACGGTGGAAGGGAGGAGGAACAGAAAGGAAAGAAAAGAGTTTGCATCTTCAAACGGAGCTCCGTCGGAGCTTGGACCCATTTTCAACGGGTAACGATTCCGCCTCCTTCACACAACTGCAACTATGGCCGACTCCGACGAAGAATATGTGGGCGAGGTAACAGAGGATGAAGATGATCTTCAGGTGACTCGAGGCGACACACGGGCCAGGAAAAGAAAGCAGCGCGGAGGCGCAGAATGGGAGCTATCCAGAACCTGGGAGACTCTGGTGGAAGGTGCAGATGGAACCATTAATTCGACCGTCGAGGGCCTTCTGGAGGCAGGCAAACGGAAAAGGTGAGCCTCGTTGATTGATTATCCGTCTCGTTGCTAACTTGTTCCCATCGCGCAGGCTATTGAAAGATACGACACCACTGCAGCGCGGTATCATTCGACATCTCATCCTCATAATCGATCTTTCACAGTCCATGTCCGAGAAAGACCTACGACCGACACGGTACCTGTTAACGCTTCGATATGCCCAGGAGTTTGTGAGAGAATTCTTTGAGCAAAACCCCATTTCCCAGCTCGGCGTCCTTGGACTGAGAGATGGTCTTGCCCTTCGAGTCAGTGATATGAGCGGCAATCCAACGGAGCATCTCGCGGCCATCCAAGCGCTAAAAACACAGGATCCCAAAGGTCTTCCCAGCCTCCAAAACGGATTAGAGATGGCACGTGGTGCGCTTTTGTATGTCCCCGTGTCGGCGACAGCCTACCCGAACAAAACTAATCCATGAATGTAGCCATACCCCGAGCCATGGCACTCGTGAGGTGTTGATCATCTTTGGGTCTCTCCTCTCCTCTGACCCTGGAGACATCCACCAAACGATAAGTACCCTGATCAGCGACAAGATCCGAGTTGGGATCGTCGGTCTCGCCGCGCAGGTTGCAATCTGCCGTGAGCTTTGCACCAAAACAAGTGGCGGGGACGAGACAGCGTATGGAGTGGCACTGAATGAACAACACTTTCGAGAGCTGATGATGGACGTAACGACACCCCCGGCTGCTTATTACCAAAAGGAATCTGCGAGCTCTTTGCTAATGATGGGGTTCCCTTCTCGTACAGTGGAGTCCAGCCCTTCTCTATGCGCATGTCATTCAAAGCCCTCGCGAGGAGGCTATCTCTGCTCACGATGCAATAGCAAAGTGTGTAGTCTTCCTGCGGAGTGTCCATCCTGTGGACTTACATTAATTCTCTCAACTCACCTGGCACGCTCGTATCATCATCTATTCCCCTTGATCAACTGGGTCGAGGTGCCGTGGCGTCGAGCCTCGCAAAGCTCTGCTTGCTTTGCCTGCGGTATTTCTTTCCCACCCGTTCCCCCAGAGGATCAATGGCAAGGGACCGAGAACCATACCAAGGGAATGAGTGTGAGCAGTCGCTACGAGTGTACAGCGTGTCAGAACCATTTCTGTATCGACTGCGATCTCTTCGCACATGAGGTCGTACACAACTGTCCTGGGTGCCAAAGTAGAAGTGCAAGCCTGCACTCCGCGCCCAAACCAACAGCTGATGGCATGGATACCACAATCTAGGGCTGGTGATTATTTCAAAATTGCATGGGTTTGGCGTCACTCGCGGGATATCCCATTTATCTTCATTTTCACAAGCCCAAAGGGCGGCATGGAGCAAGGCGCCTGTACGTACAGAAATACAACAATCTAAAGAAGCGGGGAAGGAAGAGCACAAGATTTGAACCTATAGTAAATTCTTCGCATACACTTTGTAGGATACAGAGTTGCAATCGGTGGTTCGATATAAGGTCAACGGGCCTCGGTTAGCTTGACTAGCCCCACGCCGCCTCCGCATCTCAGGTATCCTTCAAACATATATTCCTCAACGATGGCGCAACCTTCGATTCAAGATTTCGAGCGAGTACTGTCGTATTCTTTCCATACAGATCCCGAATTTGCCAATGGTCTCTCAATCATACTCGGTCACCCCGACACCCCCGCCACTGAGGCAGAGATGAATCGAGATGATGACCTTGTTTTACAAGCAAAGTGTTTCTTTTACTCACGGTATAGTTGCATTCTATGGGTTATATAGATATATTTAAAGACTAATATGCCACTGGGCCACAGAAAAGAAAAGCTCGCCCCAGCGATTGACTTTGCGGTCTTCAAGTCATGGTTGGCGTCACAGTCAACGGGAAAGTCCCAAATTCCAGACAGCCAGGAAGACTCGTCGCAGACATCTACTGGCTTATCCCCAGAACAGAACATGGCGGGTTCAACAAATGCAGAGCCCGCTTATCCGTCGTCGTTTGCGCATATTGTGGAACTGATCACTACTGGACAACCAATTCCCGGAATCCAGGACATACCGGATACAGTGTTGACTGGACATGATATCTCAAGCGAGAAACCCCGACGACGGAAACCCTGGGAGAAGGAAGACCTGGAAACCGCTCCCAGTGAGACCGCAACTGGTGCTCCCTGAGGTACTCGGCGATATTGAGATAAGATTAGAATATTGGAATAACGATATCATTTTCTCTGTAATTAACATGACACGCTGAAAGCTTTGATCCATCCGACTGAATAGCACAATGATGATTGGGAATAGCAAGCCAATCTGATAAATCGGCAAGCAGTAATGACTCGCAAGATTGATGAGCAGTTGGATTGAACAATATTGAATGAACGCTGGCAGGTAATGAGACACAAGCTGTTAGACCTGGAAACAGGGTAAAATGATTAACGCAATCAGTAACATGGGGGGATTTTTTTCTTTTTTTCGTTTTTTCGTTTGTCGTTTTTCTTCGTGGACGATCAGAGGGCGTCAAGAGACAGACTCAATGGACGGGAGCATAATTGGGTCCCCATTGATGTCCACGGCCGAATCGACCACCGGGCTGGCTCGTGGTAGAAAACTTGTCTTCATTGAAGTTGTTGAAGCGACCGATTTGCATACCGGCACCGGGACCTGGGCGAGTAGCATGAGACGGGTTACAGCAAAGCATAGCCACACGAGAGCCGAACTTGGAGCCACGAAGGGAGACCATGTGTTTTCTGATCAAAACCAGGTTAGCCTTGAAACGGTTCAGTACTTGAGCTGGGGTAAGTAGTACCTGATATGACTGGCCACAACCTCTCGTTGGTGTGACGGAGCATTCATCAAAATCCATTGGATAAGATAATTGCCATACTGGTCTCCCGCTACTAAATATAAGTTAGTATTGTGCTTTTTATGTTGTCTCTGGGTCAAGGTCTGAGCAACTTACTATCAATCAATGGCATGCGAGGTCGGTCAGAACGCCCGATGCAGACGCGAGTGAGATACCGATCCATGAACTCCGTACCTCCGATCTTGAGGCATTTTTCCACGATCTTAGACGCAAACTGATCCATGCTATAATCGACAGCCCAGTGGAGAGCATGCTCCACAGCACGGCTCTTGTCATGAGGAGCACCGTGCTCACAGATGTGTTGGATGCACCAATTTCCGAATTGCCCATGAGCGAGTACATCAATCTTTGCCAACACTTCTTCAATTGCCGGTCGCTTCTAACCATTAGTATTCGTTGAAAGAATAAGTTACCCAAGAGAAGGGAAATCCTCCATCGGTATGAGACGCTCAAGGGGTCAGGGACACTCACTTTTTCATCCTCGACGCAATTTTCAAAGATGTTTTGAACAACTAAGCTTCCCGTCTCCCCCAGAGCAACCTCGTGCCACATTCCCTGTAGTGCCTCGTTCACTTTGATCATCACCTGTGGAGGCTCGCCACTCCACCGAAGCTCGAAGAGCTTTTGCCAAACATGACAGGAATACCGATGGATCACCGTCTCGGGAATTCTGCGAAGAAGCTCATGCACCATGAAAGCTTTGTGTTCCTCTGGGACACAGTCAAAAGCCTTTTGAATCACATGGCAGCCAAATGGATCCATGCTCAGATTTAGTGTATTGCCTCTGATTGCATTGGCGATGGCAACAACCTGCTCTGGGGTTCCGTGCTCAAAACAGCGTTGGACAAGGAAATTTCCAAAGCGATTGACCATGAGTGGGTAGGCTTGGTGAACAATTGCCTCGATGATATCATGTTTCTGTTCGGTTGTGCCGACTTTCAGCTTTTGTTGCAAGAAAATCGAAGCTTGTTGATCGTTACTGCAGACTATTTTGTCTACAATATATTTCCAATCACACGACACGTTCTTGTCCAGGAGCCGTCGGTAGTTGAGAGGCTCAAGCGGCGACACGTATGTTTGGATGGAATTGCCGCTCGTCTAGAAAATATCAGAGTAAGTTCAAACGAAGGATGCATGCTGACCCGGATTCTTACCGCGGAAGTGGACCAAGAGCTATCATTAGCACTAGAACCCATGAACTCACTGGCAGTAGGAGAAAGAGGGCTTCCAATTGCCCGAGGATGGTAAGAAGGCACTGGGTAAAGGCCGGCCTGTTGTAAAGCACTGAGAGGCCTCTTTGCGGGTGACGTCGTTGACTTCGGGGTCTGGTCACTGGAAGATGCAGAAGAGAAATCACTCCAAGGAGTGGACTGGGTTGGGAACAGAGACCCGCCACGGCTGCATTGAGTGTTAATGCGACGAGGTCCAGTAACTGTGCCTGCGGGAAACTGCGTCTGGTCGCCGATGGGGCCCGAGTAGAACCCGCATGGACTGGCCGATGGTCTCGAAAGAATTCTCTGGAATTGCAGAGATGAGGATCCCGTGAACGGAGGATAGATACCAGAAGTGGCCCAGAATCGGCTAGGATCCTGGCTTGCGGGATTGTTAGAGGCCAAAGAAGGCACACTGTAGTCCCCGTCGAGAGCAGGCTCAAGACGTGCCCACGGCCCACGAGATCCACCGTAGGGTCCTGTAGACAATGGCTCTGAGATATCAGACTGTGAGTCGTCTTGGCCAGCCCAAGAATCTTGGAATTGGCCGAAAGCAGACCTCGACCCATTGAAAACGTTCTGCAAGGGACTGATGGTTTGTTCTCTTATCTCACGACTGCTGAAATCTGCCTCGGATGGGAAACCAAGAGCTTGGTCCAAGGTATGCTTTATCACGCGGGTCTGGGCGAGCTCTTGCTCCTGCAAAGCTATTTTTGAGTTTGCAGCCAGCAGCTCTTGCTTGAGACGACGCAACTCCACCGTGTTATCCTCCTGGCTGTAGGGCTGATGAGGAACTGTGGTGTATGGATTTGGCAGTGATTTGAGAATTGGGGCGACCTGGGACGGTCCAGAGGAAGGTTCAGCTTCGGAACGCGTGGTTTGGATAGATTTGGGAGAGAGATTTGCCAGTATCCTCTCAATATCCGATGGCTGTCCACTCAAAGGTTCAGCTTTGATGTGATCTAGCTTCTGCTTCTGGGATTGTGAGATCACATGCACAAATAATCGGTACCATGAGAGACACACCTTGCTCAACGAATGCTCTGCCCCATCACTAGATGAAAGTTGCGTATTTCCATGACGAGAGACTTCCATAGGACCAGAAGAGCCATAGCGAGTAGTTGGGGTTTGGTGTCCCTATAATGAGCGGCACAGTCAGCATGTGATGAACTCATTTCAAAGCCGTCATGTGAAAGGGGCATACCGATTGTTCGTGTCCAAAAGAGAGAGCTCGCACATCGATGCCATCATGGGGAATAAAGTGTGTTTCGTTACCTATGCGACCAAGGGTCGAAGGCCCGCTTAGGGTAGACATTTTGTCAACTAACAGAGATGAAAACAGAGACAGAATCAGAAAAGAGAAACTAGAAAAGACGAAAAGAAAGAAAATGTGAGAAAGCCGCCGAGTGAAGGTTGGGACAGAGAGGCTTGTTGCAACCAAGTGAGTTTACATGCAACGAAAAGGATTCTGGGCAAATTCTCACGAGATGACAGTAAACATTTGGGGATTTCAGGAGATGAAGTTGAAGAACATGAGATAAAGAGAAGAGAGAAGTGGGAAGGAGAGAAAGAAGTGAGGGCAAGAGTAAGAAGACCAGGAAGGAGCACGAGGCAAAGCTGGAAACAGCAACGAACATTTACAGCTCTACGAAACCACGGGTTTAACTCCGGCAAGGTATTCTATGCATTTATTGGGAATTCTTCGTGTTCCTAAACTAAGTATAGGTCTTCAAACTTGGTGAGCCTGAAGTGCGTTTTGCTCCCTAGATAATCAGAGTATCTATAGTTCATATTAATATCCACGTATATATCTAAAGCTTGAGAAAGTACAAATGTTAAATGTCAAGAAATAGAGCATCTAAGTATTTGAGCAAAAATTCAACTGAAGTATAGATATATCCTCACATTACATCACGTGATATACGAGATCAATCACATTGCAAGTTAAGTTAACTTAGCGTTAAGTTAACTTGACTACACATAAGTGTACATGGTGTTTAACTTATTAATAGAAACGTCAAGATATTAGGGAAATGGTACGGGTATACGGGTACATGTAACTACATCGGAGGTTGCCGAATTATCCATCTTAAAATTAAAAGCGAGTTCAAGATATCCTTTCAATCAATTTCTACCTTGTCGTTTTATCAAATCCCTTATTTCTCTCAGTCCGGCGACAGTGTCCGGAAGCGTGTGTCCTTTATACTCGACGCTTATTCGCTCAGGGAGATTCGTCATCGTACCCAGCCCACCCTTTCTCAACCCCCATCCAACAACCAACTCTCGGAATTCAGGTCCTTGGTAAGTGACACCGGGTGTCTTTCGCGCTTGCTTTCTTTAACGTCTTCCTCCCCCAGAATATGGCCACAACCACAGTGACCGGTCATGGGCGACGCTCCTCCATGCGACAAACTGAATTGCAAATACCAAAGTCCTCCGCCTCGCAATCAACCAGCAGCCCCATTGATAAATTTCCACCCTATGAGGACACCATTGAGACAGTCGCGGGGACAACTCGTCCAAACCGAAGTGCTTCCATCAAATATGCCCCAAACGAGCTTTGGGAACCCCGGAAAACTAGTTTCTACTCGCGAGAACATGGCAACGGGCCATTGAGAAACCCCAAGCATCGCCCACGGAAGAGTATTAGCGAGGCCATATCAACCATTAGAACGCGCAACGGCAGCATGAGTGCCAACGCCCACGAGTTGGCCGAAGCTCTCCGGGCGCCAGTATCCTACCGATTGACTGTATGTGGTTTCATGAACTGGTTGGCGGGTCTTGATTGCGCTAACACATCCCAAAGGCGCTGTGTGTCATTTGGTACTTTACCTCAGCCCTCACAAACACGTCATCGAAGTCGATCTTGAACGCCCTTCCGATGCCTATTACTCTGACCATCGTCCAATTCGCATTCGTCTCCTTTTGGTGTTTGTTGTTGGTATATCTTTCCACGATTATACCTCGATTACGACAAAGTATCCCGGTACTTCAACATGGTATCCGCTATCCGTCCCGAGAGGTCATATCTACAGCCCTGCCTCTGGCAGTATTTCAACTAGCCGGTCACATTCTCAGCTCAATGGCCACGGCACAAATTCCCGTTTCTTTGGTCCATACTATCAAGGGTCTTTCCCCTCTTTTCACGGTTCTCGCGTACAGGGTTTTGTTCCGCATCCGCTATGCACGGGCAACATATTTATCATTAGTCCCACTTACTATGGGAGTGATGCTTGCGTGCTCGACTGGGGTTTCCACAAATTTTTTCGGGATTTTTTGCGCATTCGCCGCAGCTATTGTGTTTGTTTCGCAGAACATTTTTTCAAAGAAGCTTTTCAACGAGGCAGATCGTGCGGAATCAGAACTGCAGAATCCGGGGCGACGCAAGTTAGACAAACTCAATCTCCTTTGCTATTGCTCTGGGCTGGCCTTTTTCCTCACTCTGCCTATTTGGTTTGTCACCGAGGGTTACCCATTGGTATCTGATTTTATCAATGATGGTGTGATATCGCTCTCGGAGAAGAAAGGGTCACTGGACCATGGTGCACTTCTCATCGAGTTCATCTTCAACGGAGTTTCACATTTTGCCCAGAACATCTTGGCCTTTGTACTCTTGTCGATGATCTCTCCCGTGTCATACTCTGTCGCATCCTTGGTCAAGCGCGTATTTGTGATTGTGGTGGCGATTGTCTGGTTTGGGAGCTCGACCACGCCGATTCAAGCAATTGGTATTTGTCTCACTTTCGTGGGTCTCTACCTTTACGACCGCAACAGCCACGACGATGTGGCCGACCAAAGGGCAAATGCAGATCATTTCCGTGCCGAAAAGTCCATACTTCCGATGAATGTGCGACATTCGAGCAAACCGTGGGACTCGAATGGCTATGCCTTTCCCGCAGGTAGAAACTATGAGGCATCCAATCTTAACAACTCACATGCGGCAGCAAACAGCTCCAAGAAGGAAGATGATGGACCGGGGCGTGTGCGACCTAGAGGAGCCAGTGTTTCTCGTACATGGTTGCCAGGAACCAAGCAAGAATCCACTTGGCAGGTCAGTGATTCCCAAGCAGCAGCTTAGCACCTGTTTCATTAGTTCAGTGTACGATATGATGGCGTTGCGGTGTTGTTCGGGGAGGTTACGTTAATATCCCCTTCTCTTTTGACCCATCTGGGTCGTTTACTTTGGCGCAAGGCATGTTCTTGCCAGCCCCATCGGTTGTACAACTGTCAAATTTACAAAACCGAAACCCGACTTTCAATAGATGTGATGTGGCAATGTTAAGTGTAAACTTCTCTCCAAAATGTATACCATTGATAAGCTAGTATAATGAGGACCTAGTCATAAGCGCTAAGGATTAAGAGTGATGTAGCTACCGTCGGTAAGGAACAAAGTCATCATTAGGCGAACCCTTGACAGCTCCAGCTACGGCGCAATTCTGCTCTTGGGACATACTGTAGAGGAAAAAGGAACAGGAAACGCCGGTCTCCTACAATAAATGATGCCCGTGAAATGAGATTATATGAGGAAAAGAATATCATTAAGGGGCAAAACGAATGGTTTTGAAGGGAGGCCGGAGCAGGGGTTTATCCGCCTAACCGAGCCAATCCGCGTGAATCCATTTGCGTTGTCCTTAGTCAGCTTCAGGTATGGTCAGCACCCCCATTATGTAACCGCAGATTCCGATGCAAAGTGCTCTCTCTGACCTCCCAACTGTCACCAGGATTCCACCCCCTCGCCCTTCACCCTATTTCCCACCCTCCCATCTCTGTTTTCTTCTCAATCATGCGGCCGCAGCTGTTCCGTGCGGCCGCCCGGTCTCTCCGGGTTCCTAAGGTCACCCGCAGGACCTTCGCGACGACAGCCCCTCGCGCGGCCGAGGTGGAACTCACCATTGGTACGTCCACTCCCAGTCTGGTTTATCGGGGTCGACCAATAACTGATCATTTGTTCTCTAGATGGCAAGAAAGTGTCGGTAGAAGGTAAATCCCCAGCCTAGGCAATGCATTGGGCCTTTACTCACATCTTCCCTTGAAAGCCGGTTCGGCTCTTATCCAAGCCTGTGAGCAGGCAGGCGCAACAGTCCCCAGGTAAGACAATTACTAGCCAATTGACTCCCTACTTCAGGCGCTAATCATGCAATAGATACTGTTATCATGAGTATGTGCCCTCGAATCGAGCCACACATGTTATTTTTGCTAACCTCAGGTCCTTGAAGAAAACTTCTGGTTGCGGGAAACTGTACGTGGAATTGATTTCTTCCTTCCCTTTTACACAAGCAGACATACTAACCAAACATTCAGGTCGTATGTGTCTCGTCGAAGTCGAACGTGCCCCGAAGCCGGTTGCCTCCTGTGCCTGGCCAGTACAGCCGGGTATGGTGGTCAAGACGAACTCGCCGCTGGTTCACAAGGCTAGAGAGGGTGTGATGGAGTTCCTTCTTGCCAATCATCCCCTCGATTGCCCCGTTTGTGACCAAGGAGGAGAGTGCGATCTCCAAGACCAGTCGATGCGTTATGGTGCCGACCGGGGTCGATTCCACGAAACCGGCGGAAAGCGTGCTGTGGAGGATAAAAATATTGGGCCCCTGGTCAAGACTTCGATGAACCGATGCATTCACTGCACTCGTTGTGTCCGATTCATGAATGACGTTGCCGGTGCCCCCGAACTGGGAACGACTGGACGTGGAAACGACATGCAGATTGGAACCTACCTCGAGCAGAACCTCGATTCGGAGCTGTCAGGCAATGTTATTGATCTTTGCCCAGTTGGTGCGCTGACTTCAAAGCCTTATGCGTTCCGGGCACGTCCATGGGAGCTGAAACATACCGAGTCGATCGATGTTCTTGATGCCCTTGGCTCTAACATCCGCATCGATAGCAGAGGCCTGGAAGTCATGCGAGTCGTCCCAAGGTTGAATGATGATATCAACGAGGAATGGATTAACGACAAGTCGCGGTTTGCGTGCGATGGACTAAAGACCCAAAGGCTCACCACTCCGCTCATTCGTCGGGAGGGCAAATTTGTTCCCGCAACCTGGGAACAGGCTCTCATGGAAATCTCTGCGGCCCACCAAAAGCTCCAGCCGCAAGCTAATGAGTTCAAGGCTGTTGCCGGACACTTGGTTGATACCGAGTCGCTCGTCGCCATGAAGGACCTGGCGAACAAGCTTGGCTCCGACAACCTCGCCCTCGATCAACCAGGTGGCAGCGCCCCTATCGCTCACGGTATTGATGTTCGTTCCAACTACCTGTTCAACTCCAAGATCTATGGCATAGAGGAAGCAGATGCCATTCTTCTGGTTGCGACAAACCCTCGCCATGAAGCCGCAGTCCTCAACGCTCGCATCCGCAAGCAGTATCTCAGGTCCGATCTTGAGATTGGTCTTGTTGGTGAGGAGTTCGAGAGCACCTTCGACTTCGACCACCTCGGTACTGATGTCTCTTCCTTGAAGACTGCCTTGTCCGGAGAGTTTGGCAAAAAGCTTGCTGCCGCTCAACGGCCAATGATCGTCGTTGGTAGCGCTGCCGCGGAGCATCCCGACGCCAAGGCAATCTTCGAGGCCGTCGGCGGCTTTATCGAGAAGCATGCCGACAACTTCATCACTCCTGAGTGGCAAGGATACAATGTTCTCCAGCGCGCAGCGTCTCGAGCTGGCGCTTACGAAGTTGGCTTCACTGCGCCATCCTCGGAAGTTGCTCAAACTACACCAAAGATGGTATGGCTCTTGGGCGCCGACGAGGTCGCCCAGAGCGAGATCCCCAAGGACGCATTCGTCGTCTACCAAGGACACCATGGTGACCGCGGTGCCCAGCTTGCTGATGTCGTTCTACCAGGTGCCGCTTACACTGAAAAGTCTGGCACATACGTCAACACAGAGGGTCGTGTTCAGGTTACCCGTGCTGCCACGTCACTCCCCGGGGCTGCTCGTGATGACTGGAAGATCATTCGTGCGACTAGCGAATTCCTTGGTGCCCCACTGCCTTACGATGATATCGAGGCTCTTCGTGACCGCATGGAGGAGATCAGCCCTGTGATGCGTCGCTACGACGTTGTTGAGCCAACTTCCGTTGGCTCGTTGAGCAAGGTCCAACTTGTAGACCAGAACAAGGGCTCTTCGACGACTGGAGCTCCTTTCAAGAAGGTTATCGAAGACTTCTTCTTTACTGACGCTATCTCCCGAAGGTGGGTACCCTTTCACCTATGTTCAATCGTGTTGCATCGCTAACTCTGTTTCAGCTCGCCCACCATGGCTCGTGCCTCTGCTGCCAAGGCTACTGGAAACCCTGAGACCAACTTCATGGCTGCAGGAGAGATGTCTCCCCAGGCTTTGTATGGCTAGATCGGGGTCTGAATGACCTGATTCTATGTTTCTCTAATGGTTGCAGGCGTTTTTATTGTACCACATCTTAAACTTCCCTTTGGATGTACTGTTTTCTTTTCATATTCTGTGCTTTTTTCCCTATCATCTCGAACACCCTTCCGGTTCCGGTTGACTTCTTCGCTCTTCTCCGGTGTCGCCTGGGATTAATCGGTAGTGGTTGACTTGTACATAAAAAGACTGAACCTCCAAAATCTCAATCCCATGGGCATTTGAGATGATATTACGACTTGTCACATTTACGCGTAGCCAAGTTCATGGTTGCCCTTCTTAATCTCAAAGTAGGGCCTAACTTCATCCGAAGATACGTTTTCACGAGATTCTGATGAGAGCCAGGTAAAGATACAAACTTTCCGGGCATGCGGAAGTACTAGCTGGAGTGGGTCTATAAAGACAGCACTGTATAGGCACCTATGAGTTCAAATACTATAAATTGCCCTCTCGGAATGTCACAGATCCTGCTTGTCTGAGACCGGTTGCTTGAATCAATCTAGGCCCAATTCACAGCTCATCGTCATCAGTCTCCCCGGCGGTTTCTTCGGCATTTTCGTGGGTCATAGTTGATGGAGTCTTCGTTGTTGCTCCCCCAGCCCTTCTGATGAACGGCAACTCCCTTCGGGGGGGAGCTGTGTCCTTTGCTTGGGGGACTGTTTTCATATGAGCAGAATTATCCGGGGACGCATCATCGTCTGTCGTGCTGTTGTTCTCGTCTTCTAGGGGCTGAGGAGTTGAACGCTCATCGTCCGTGTCGTGGTCATTGATAGCGTCTTGATTAGCCCTTTCCGTATCGAGATGCATCTGTTCAAATCCATCGGAGTTCTCAGACTCGCTCAAACCCTGAGCGCTTCTTTTTGTCGAATGGAGTTGTCCAGCGACACTGTGCTCCTCTTCAGGGATAGTAGCTTGGATTTCAGAGACTATCGCTGTTCAGTCAATAGTGTGATAATTAGAATACTTCGGTTGGTTGACCTCACCTTTAGTTGCGTCTGGAGTCGCTGATGCCAGAAGGCGTTGCTGATTGCGAATCTTGAGCTTTTTCTCATTCAAAAGCTGCGCGAAGTTGGTCACCAGTTGGGTTTCATGTTGGGTCTTCGCCTGCATGAGGTTTTCAAGCTGTTCATTTAACTTGTGTATTGTGTCCTCGGCGAGGCGATAACGAGAAGTTAGGCTGGAGACTTGTTGCTCCAGCATGTCAGCTCGCATAACGGCAATCCCAGTCCACTCGAACAGTTCCACGGCTTGCTCGTCGTCTTGCTTCAATACAAGCGCACCGAGACGTTGCTACAGTGCCGGTCAGTCGAAATGTATTACAAAGTGGTAGGACACGAACAGTGATGGTCTGCACTCGCTTCCGTATAGTAATCACAATTTCCTTGTCCTCTTCAGAGTCTGATATAGTGGCCACTGTTTCAAGGCCAGTGGCCCAATCCGGCTCATCCGATGGCGGAGAGGATTGTCCCAGAATTAGGGACACTGTGTTGGCCCAGTCATCCTCTGACCCTTGATAGTTCTTTGCGCGAAGGTCTTTCAGGCGTGCCTGCTTCACTGTCCTAACTGTGTGAGTCCATGAATTCCCTTAACTTCCATTGACAACGACCCACATAAGCTGATATAGGGCGATTCTCCTTCAGTTGCTGTCAGGGTTAAATCAAAAGGCGCCGAGCTGTTCTGTGAAACATGAATGAGCACAAATGCCCCAGCCTCATCGGATCTAGGGAACCGTAGGACTCGGTCTGGAAGAGACATCGAATGCAGAGTAAGACAAGAAGGAACCAGTTTCAAAAAGAGATCAATCTTAGCTATGTAGGAGATCCCAAGGCAACCGAGTGGAACCTAGGTACGTGGGAGGCAAGTAGCTGATACCTAAACCCCCACCTAAATCCCAGTAGACACCAAAAGTACCAGGTACCCCTTGAATAGGTCCACGTTTCGTTTACACTACATGTCCGGTTACGAGACAGTATAATTTATTAGAATAATTCTGTATTCAGAAGTTAAATACCTACGCAGTGGTCCACTCAATCTATCGGGAGGAGGGGGGCACGTTCTTCTGCACGAGGAATCCGAGATCCAGCCACAACATCTTTTTCCCCTTTTGTACCCCTTTGCTTCTCAGCTCTCAAATCTTCGACCTAGACCTGGATCGTCCTCTCTCTGTTCTGGGAGGATCTGGTCCCCATATCGTGACTTCGATCTGATTCGACGTTCTACGGTTCTATTGATGTCCCCCGATCCGCTTCGCGATATCTCAACTTTACCAACTCCTGTCCTCGCTTTACTCTCGCCGACCGACCCGGAATGACGCTCATGTTCTCGCCCCCTGAATCTCCGTCCGTGTCGCAAAGCTCGGAGACTGCCATTTGAGCCATAATCCCCCCTTCAGGGACATCCGTCCCTGTTCCGTGAGCGCCGCGTGCTCCGAGCCCCTTCCCCTGATCGGCTGGGGCCTATCATGGACTCGTTACCAAACCAGTTACGACCAGGCACCGATGAACCGATTGAATGCTGGGATGACGACGACGATTTGCAATTCAACGGGGATGTTCAGTTCCGCACCGCGTCCAGCGCGGGATCCATAACAAATTCGTCATTCCGGCCATCTGGGCATCGAGATTCCATTTCCTCGCGACGTTCTGCGCGCTCGGATCTTGACTCCAATGTTGGAGACGAGGATTGGCAGGTTCCGCTCTACGAAAATGACGAGTTCGCCAAAGAAGAAGCTATTGCCTCGGCCAAGACCGCGGGAATTCCCATTCCTACAGATATTCCCAAATCGGCTCTCGTCGGCGGCACGATTAAGCGCTTGTCTACCCGAAAGACCCGAAAGACATTTGTTGACGACTGGTCAGAGGATGTTGAGCTCCCGGACCCCGAAACTGTCCTACAACTAAAGACTCCCCGGGAAACAGTGTTTCCTGATTTCCTCCCAAATGTCAGCTCTGCTGCCACCAGTCCAGTAAAGTCCGCAGCCTCACCATCATGGACCGACGAAATTTCTACACATTTACAATCAGCTTTGGAATTTGACGGCTTTGACCCTCAAGACATACCAACGCTCAAAGCCCCAACCCCTCGATCTCCAAAGAAATCATCCACGGCCAATGTCGGGGTTCTCAATGTGGAACAGGAAACAGACGATGACTTTAACCAGGATTTCGAATTACCTCAAACCCTTCAGCCTCTAGAATTGTCGTATCGGAAGCATAATTTCAACGTTTCTAGCCCCACCTTGGACGACTTCGATCTCGAGTGGTCGGAAGGAAGCATTGGTGTCCGGGTCGGCGGCACTACAAGAGACGGTCGCTCAGTTCCCAGCTCCTCGATTTCGATTGCCAGTCCTAGCGTCTCAAGCTGTCTCACAGCGGAAAGTGAAGACGATGGCCTCGACGGCCTCGTCATCCCTGAAGGTCCTTTGGATTTCAAGGCTTCACTCAAGAAGCGCCAAACAGCACGGATCGAGAACGTGGACGTACGAGAAAACCGGCTGGATCAGGTCCCTGACGCTGATGACTTTTTTCTGGCATCGAAGTCGACAATGGAAAGGCCTTCTCTTCGGGGAAGCTGGCTTTGAACCCTAACGTAAAATGCAAGACTGAACGGCCATCTAGTCCGACTCGTCGGTCTGCAACAACTCTCACATTCACCAGTGCGACAGGTTCTCCACGAACCCGCATCCCTCGCTTGTCCGGTCACGATCGGACACATTCAACCCATCTTGAGACTGTCTCAGAGAGTGGTGCTCCTCTTTCCAAATTTCGAACATCCCAATCGCGTCTTGGGCATTCATCTCAATCATCCACATCAAGCCTCCCCATTTCTAATGTCATTCCGACATCGCCAACTCTACCTGTCTCTGGTCGACGACTTCTCGGACCTCGAACTCCTAGGGACAGTACCCAGTCCAGCGAGGTCAACCCTCCAAATAGGCGTTTGAAAACGAAACGTTCACTACCCTCAATCCGTGGCACGGGCTCTGCACCCTTGACGCAGCCTTCTCAGCGCCAACCGATTGATCGGCCGGTGCGTCTCCCTTCCGCGAGACCTAAAACGCCGGTGGATCGCCCCTTAATTGATGGGAGGACATTCGCCCGCAGAGCCCAGGCGCCGTTCATGCCAGCTGGCCCCTCAGAATCTCAATCGCCTGCCAATGTGAAGGGATACCGCTCCTCCCGCCGCACAAACTCGGACAGCTCCAGTGGGCTACTTAGTCCACAGGGCACCTTCGGTCGGCTCCCGCGATCAACTCGGAATGAGTCCTTCCGTACTAGTTTTGGCGAATCAACCCCGGATTCTGTTGCTTCGGCAAAGCGTACCCTTACACGACCCACCAAACGGCGTAATTTTGGGGATGGAACAGAGCTCGAGTCGTTTGACGACTTGTCTACATCGGTAGCGGCGGAGAGCAAGTTTGTCAAAACTCCCACAGGTCGAGGTGCTCCAAGATCCGTTCGCACCAGAATCAGTCAGAGTCGGATTGAGCCACCGCACGATGTATCACCTCCTCAATCGTCAACATCCCCATCGGCTCTTAAATTACGAAGCCCGACTCCTAGGTTTGCCCAAGATACCAATGCATCCAGGAATGCAAGAGAACAACGCATTGCTTCCATGGCAATGAACTCGAAAAGCCGTGAATCAAATTCTCTCTCTGGTTTCAGCTCGAACTGGAAGTCCCAGCCTATCTCAAGAGCCCCTCCCTCGACATCAATTCGAAGCCGGAAAAGCAGGCCTAGCGCAAAATTAACATCAAAACCACATCTGATCAAGCCCATGGGGTCTGGGGTGCAAGATGCCAAATGTAAGCAAGCCTTGATTTTAAATGATTGACCCAAGCTCACTATTCACCGTTCCTAGCCGTGAGGGGTATGCGTTACAACCCTATCAACTTCCGTTGGGAAGGAAATGAAAACTCAGTACAAGATTTTGATCCTGCTCCAAAATCACCCAAGCCTGCACCAGCTCTCATCACCAATGTTGGCGCGATGCACAACGTTCAAACCGTCGGTGGGATGGTCTTCGATCCGCATCGTATGTGCTGGCTCAAGGCTCCACTTGACGGCGTTGCAGATGAAGATGATGTCTTTGCCGGTCTAGATGATTTGGAGGCAAGCAGCTCCCATGGACGCACCTCGGGGGCATTTGAAGGGCCTCCGTTCCAGGGGGACGAGGCAAGTGCCGGTGAATCATCCGATGAAGGACCTATGACGGAGGAATTCGATGTCGGGCCAGAATTCATTCGACGACAGCGAGCCGAGGAGGAAAAGTGGAGGCGCAAGGTTGACAAGTGGGTTGGCTTCGACCGCCACGAAAATCACCTATGGATCATCCGTGATTTGGTGGCACTTGATGGCAGGGGAGAAGCAGCCTAGACGGGGCGACTTCGCCTCTGGCAAATACACGACCTTACGACCTACTGGCATGAACTTATGGTGACTTTCAAGCCTGACTTTTGTAACTATACAGTACTGTTAATATGTAAAGAGTGAATGAGTGAAGTTTTCTGAGAAGTTGGGCAGAATCCAACAATAGCAACTCCCGCATCTCCCGCAACTCCCAACTCTCAACTCTCCATCTCCCAGGTCTATCCATGTTCTGTGAAATACTGAAACTCGGACTCGGACATTATGCAGACCATTTCCGGGAAAGATGATCGGGAAGCAACAGTCCCCCCTTTTCAGTTGTGAACAGGATTCCGATTGCTTCCTGCGAGGGTCCGAACCTTGGATGTTGGGCGACAAATCGTGTCTCACTACGAGCCAAACGTATGCAATCCTGCCATCCCGCATTGATTGCCCTGCACCTGTCACTCGGAGATGCTTGCCACGTCAAATCGAAACACATACTTGGCAGTGAGACATGGACACACAGCACACGCAACTGGGATTCCCTAGATTCTCGAGGGCAGTTACATCCTCATCCCCAAGCCTGAGGGTACGCATCCATGTTCCTTACCAATTGGCACGGCTACTTGCAGGGGAAATCTGTTTGTGACCAGGCAAACGTGCAGAAGATCGATTCTATGCAAATCGGGGAGATGATGATCTCCCCGCCTCTTTGTCCCGATAGGATGCCTCGAATACCCAACGTGGCTCTGGAGCGTATCGCCTTACCGAAAACGAACCCTTTCTTTTTTTCCTTTGCCCTCTGTACCTTACCTCGACTCTTTCTTTTTCCCTGTGGAATATTTGCTGTTAGTCTTCCAGGGATGCCCTCTGTTGTTTTCTGCCTTTTCGACATGGTCTCGTGCTCTTGGGATATCCGCGCCCTTTGGGGTCCTTTTAATACAATCGCTACCCCGTTCTTAAATGTGCCTCCAGTGACTTCTCTCTCCCCTCGATATCTTCTTGTCATACTGGTGGGAGTGACTGTTCCTTACGTCTCGTCTCACTACACTCTACTCTGTCGTTTGGTGTCTGTCCACATTGTACTCAGGGCTTGTTCGACAGATCGTATGCTGCAAAATCGACATCTGAGCGGAAACTAGGCACCAGCCATGAGCAGCTTTGCAAGGCGCAACGAAGGGAATGATGCCTATCTCATGAACCACCAACTGGCAGCGCCAGGCTCATATGGCCAGCAAGAGAACCATGACTTTGCACATGGATCCCCATATCACTTCCCTCAACATTCATTCAATCCCTACGGCTCTCATTTTGGGCAACCTTACGGTCCACAGTCAAGCTTTTCTCCGGGTTTGCAGAATCTGCAGTACTCATCAGAACATTCGATCCCATCAATGACAACTCAGGATGATCCCAGGGTCCACCATCCTCCGCAATACATCCCTCAGTCGCGCTATCTTCAAGCACCAAAATATCTACCTCTTCGCGATCCGATGTCACTCAGCGAAATAGAGATTGAAAGTCAAGAGTCTCGCAATGAGATCTCCAAGCTCTCAGAACCCGTGGTGCCCGCCCTTGACGGTTTCCCTGATGCAAAAGAATTTGATCAGTTGATGCAGAAGTGAGTAATGGGCAATTCCCTCTTCATATGTGGACTCGAAGCTGACCTCATCCTTCTAGCTACGTCAATGATCTTTCCGTCAAGAAGCAAGACAAGGCATTGATTCATGCTAAAAGAGCCCGTAACATCAGGACTGTCTTGATTGATCCAAAGGATACGGCGGTGGAGTCGGCTCAATTTCGGTACGGGATCCGTTGCTTTGGGTGCATAATATGCTAAACAGTTCAGGTTCTGGGTTAAGAAGATGTTCAAGCTGCAGGCTATGGAGGCTGGAACGCCAGAAGTAAGTTCTGTCGTCTCAGAAACCTGGTTATTCGATGCTTATGATGGCGTTGTGGTATAAAGTGCAGGAAGATGATCTGTCATGAGGGCAAGCCGGTTGCGATTCGAGAGAAACTGTTCAAAATCCTCACCAAGGCACATCAGCAATGCCAGCATGGTGGCCGCGACAAGACCTCTGCCCAGGTCCGGCGAATCTACTCATGGTAGGCAACTCTTGGACACGTTATACTCAGTACACAACATGAGTATATGATTGTTCAGCCACTGATTGTCTTTTAGGGTGCCGAAAGAACTGATCTCCCGTTTCGTAAAGATCTGCCCAACCTGTCAGGTGCGCCGCGGAGGTTCGCGCTTGACGCCGCCCAATTCACGAAGAAGCTCCCCACGACTAGAGATGATCCCTCGATCTCCTAAACTCCCATCACCTCCGGCTTCACGGCGAGAATCCACCTTTGGCCAAATGCCCATTGACAGAACACAGTCTGACTATTTCGGTCATTTGCACAGCCAGAATGCTTGGCTTGATAGCCACCAAAGTGTGCAGGGCCGTTCAGCCCTAGGCAACGGAGTACGGTCGTTCCAGCCGATGGGCAACATTTCGCACTCAATCGCGGGCACGTTGGACCCGTATACCACCGATCTATCTATTCCTCCCTCCCAGTTGACCTATACAACGGGATATGTTCCGACTCATGGAGCCCCGCCCCAGAGAGAGTTCTGAGTGCCTTTGTTGATTTACGCGGTTTCACGTTCTTGTCGTCCGGGATATACTTTGTGTATTTCCCAAAAGTACCTTGTTCAGAGCGTCGAGGTCTCTGCACATCTCCTCTTTGGTGTTGACCTCAATAGGAGGATAAGAACAGGCCGGGGTGTGTCACCCTATGCCTTTGATGTATGGAGAGACGGAAAAGCCGAGCAGTAGTAAGATACAAAATAAGTAAAAATTCTGTGCATTCTGAAACTACGCTCCATATCACATTCAAATAAAAGTTGCTCACAAAGTCAATTCAAGGCCGCGTATTTGGACTATTGCTTGCACGGGTCATGGCGAGAAATAGGAGCAGCTGCCGATACAAAACAAAACCAACCTCGAGCCATTGCTTGCATACACGTTGGATGAGATCACCCTGTGATCCATGTAATCGGTTCCAGCGGGTCTATCCAGGCAGACCTTTGTTGCCGGATTGACGATGCATACATTGGGCAACATGAAATCATTAGTTCATATTCAGCAAATCCCAGACAACGGTGGGAATTGCATGGATTGAGGGTATCACACTTGGTATCTGAAACGACTGGACGGTCACTGCGTCCAAGCAAATATAAGCGGTGGGCCCCAGAAAATTGATGCCAAACGCCAGTCTTGAAACGAGTGATCCAAGATCCTATGAAGTCCTCGGTCCATGACATGAGATTACCTAGACAGGAAGTGAGAACTTCTTGCCCTTCAGAACCCTGAGCAACCATCAAAGTCAGCATATATTCTTTATCCCTATGGGAGGTATGTCGGGAACCCGGCTTACTTGTTGTAGTAAATGTAGAAGAAGTCCGAATAGAGAAGGGTCTGAATAATCCCTGCAATGATCGGCACAGGTTGGAAGGAACGCTGGAATGAGGCCTCGGTGAGGTAGCGGAACATCCAGTTTGGAATATACAGTGCCCTATAGATTCCCAGAGCAAATAAGTAGTGGGTAGTGATAGTATCCGCCTCTCCAGTTCGCTGGAGCATGAAGAGTTGTGGCAGAATGGCCACCGACTCCAACCAAATTGAAAAGGTCCAAAGAATCTGAGATGCCGTTAGTCCTACTACCCAGGATCGCCGACAAAGAGTTCCGCCAAGTCCACACTAACCTCAGAGAAACGATAATCGTGTGGGAAGAGGATTGCAAGCACTGCGCTGATTCCAAGGAGGTATTGAACCTTGAAAGTATCGAGATTAGGATCATGCGTAGGTTTGTAATCGTTGAGCATGAGGTAGATGACGTAGGCCGAGGAGCCGATAAAAAGGAGCTTGAATGTGGTGAGGTACAAAGACTCGGTGAATGTCCAGAAGAGGTCTGGCGAGTGGTTGACGCGTTAGCGTTGGAGGTTTTGGAAATGGACTTGATGACGTCGAAACTGACCTAGATACCGAGTGATAAAGACCAAGAGATATAGCACCTGTGATTTGAAGGACAACCCCGAACAACTCTGCAAATTCGAATTAGTTGCAAGTCCCAGGCTAAACGACAGAGGAACATACGCTCGACGTCTTCATCTTCTGCAGAAGCATGAAGATCGAGGCCAGATGGGAGAAATCGGCTGCGGAGCGTTAGCAGATGGCATTGACCGAAGAGATGATTTCATACCTAATAGCCTGAAGATATTCATTGTGAGGAGAATGAGCGTTCAAAGCAAAGTAGGGAAGTAGATGAGAAGGAGAGCATTGAGTTGTTGACACGAAAGCAAAAAACGAAGGGGAAGGGTAATTACAGTACTGCAGATCAGGTACGCGACCTGTATTCGTACAGTACATTCTGGAGAAGTACCGATTGGCCGTCAACAAGCGGAGAATGTACATGTTTCAGAAGTACTCATCGGGTCCTCTCTTTGATCTACTGTATAAAAGGAATACAAATAACAAGAATGTGTATGGAAATCGTACAGTTCATAGATTAGTATAGAGTAAACAGTCGCTCCCATCCCTTGACCAGTCATAATGTACATTTAGCGCGTTAGAACAGAATTCCACCCCCGATGCTCTCGTCGGCCATTCGCTGGAGATTGCCCTCAGCCAGCTCACTTTTTAGAGCGCAGATGGAGCTTTCACGGTCAAGTCGATCCCAGTCTCGAAGTTCTGCTCGCTTTGATCGTTGCATTTCCGCCATCTGCTCCAGAAGTTTTTCTTTGTCGGTATCAAGCTGAGACAGCCGCTTTTCTACAGCAGGTTCCAGAAGAGACGGGAGACATCTCCCTTCCGGTATGATAGTACATAGCCCCGCAAGATGGTTGGTCCCCCCTCGGGGGGTACCGGTTGAGCTGCAGAGGCAGAAATGGATTGCCGTTGGTTGGCATGTCGAAAACTTCCCCCGCCCGTGACTGAGGAGGAGAAAGAACCACGTGGTCCTGCCGGAGGGCCATGTGAAGCTGGAGCGGGACCACGGCGTACCGGAGGAGTTCCCATCCAAGATTCACGCGAGCCTGGTCCACGGCGAGGGCGAGTCGGCGCCGACAGTACCCCACGATGTGGGTTGGATGGCGGCCTCGGTCCTTGATATGGCCCTGATGTTGGGAGAGAATGTGGGCTTGCACTGTGGTTTCTGGGCTGGGTTGGGATGTTGTTAACTCTGGGTCCGCCCATCTGGTGCTGATCGTGCATCTTCTCCGAGTTGAAGGCTGGTGACTGATTATTCAAAGATAGTCGCTCTCCATGCTCTGATCGCCTTGGGATGGAAGAGTCCGTGTCAGGAATCTGGTCCTGAAACGGAGATCGGCCTGGTGGTTTGGACGAACGCTGTGGGCCCAAGTGTACCGGTGAGCGACTACGTGATCCTTGTGACGCGAGACCAGCTTTTTCCACGGCTGGAGATGAACGTTGAGATATAGTCTCTGGTTGTGAAGCGACGACTTGCGCAGGCGAAGCATGTCGTGATGATAAAATTCGGTCCTGGCTCGTTCTATCAGGCGCGTGGTCTCCGCGGGGACCAGGTGCTGGACTTTGCGGCGGCAAAACTTCTGACGGCGCTCTTGGCGAAGAAGCTCTAGAGAGTTTGTCGAGGCTAGGGGCTGGTGGGCCATCCCTCCTGGATGGTCGGAAACCCTGAGTGGCCGGTGTTGTGTCGCGCGGCCGTCTCGGGCTATTGTGGCCACGAGATGAATCGCGGGATCTTCCATCATTGAAAGGCGATTTTGGACGCCAAATCGCCGGCGGCGACCTGATCCTTTCTTCTCTTCTGGGTGAGAATCTTCTTGGCGGTGATCGTCTTCTTTCGTAGCCGTTTGGGCCAAATCCCCTTCCTAGAGGAGTTCGTGAGCGACGCCGGTAGGTCGGTGGAGACCGACTTCGTGGGCGCCCATATCCCCTATTAGACGGAGGCACCCAAGTGTCTGCTCGCTGTCGGGGTGGAGAGCGGGTTCGTGGCGGCGAGCGCCTGTGACGAACATCGTACCCGCGAGATGGTGAACGGCCTGTTCTATCAGCTGGACGATAGCTTTCTCCTCCTCTTCGATCGTCAAATCTAAAGTAGTAATACCCATCAGTAATTCATCTTGAAACGTACAAGTTGCGACTGCAAACCTTCTTCGATCCCAATCCATTCTGGCTAGAGCGATACAGCTCAATAGAAGAGAAAGCTTTTGGTATTTCCCTGCAGAGCACAAAGGCGACCAAAGATCAAGTGCGAAGTCTCGGGTGTGGTAGTTCAGAGCGCAAGGAGTTGGAGATCCGAAAGATCTCAAGGTTGTATGTGAGCTAAACCCTTTTGGGAAACGCGCCTTGCGGTGTGCATGTGACAACGACGACAGTATACCTTTTTAGATATTCTTCGCATATATCAATGGGGTACGGGATAGCGACTAAGCGCTCATAATGGCCTGAAATAAAAGAGAACTACCGTACATTACAGGCCAGAGACCTTTGGAACCTAGAGTACACCAGCGTAGCCAATCCCCGAATGCCCATCACAAAATAAGCGCCTAGGAGAAATTCAGAAATTAACATAGAAAAGCACTCAATGCTTCGTCCGTCTTTCCTCTTCCTTTCGCAGCCTTTTGCGGCTCTCCTGGGCGATCATGTCACTCAAGTCCTCCTTGAAGCCCCAGCTTGGCTGGTTTTGTTGCTGCCTCTGAGTCTCATACATGTCTTGGAGGCTTTCTTTGCTGATGCCATCATTGGACTGAATCGCATCCAAGTCAACAGACACTTCAACATCCCCAGGCTTCTTGCGTTTTCGATTTGAGTCATCTACCCCAAGAACAGGAGGTTTGCCCGAGGTCCCGGCGAGGTCGTATGCTCTGTCGCCTCCGAAAAAGCCTTGCACATTCATTTGTTTCTCAGGAATCACCTGATACGCACTTCTAGGATGCACAGTTTCCTCTGTCTCGGTTCCACGGTGGTGTTTGCGGACATCAAACTCTCCAGAGACACTTTCGGCTCCGACAAACTCGGACGGTACTGTTGAATCCATGCCACCGGGAGTTTCCAAGCCACTGGGGGAATGAGCATCTGCTTCCATCCCATCCTCATCAGCCTCTTCCTCGTCATCGTTTTCTTCGTCTTCTTCACTCTCTGGCTCCGACTCCTCTGATTCCTGCAGCTCTCCCCAGAGGTCCTTCTCAATCGGCTCTCCTTGCTGAGCGTGTTGTTGGGGCTGTAGAACGCCGAATATATCACCTCCATAAAGTGGGCGGTTATGTTCATCAACTGGTGGCTTCCCATAGCCTCCTGGGTGATAACCCCACGTCGCACCTGGCGGAGGCGGCGCATTGAGGCCGGGAAGTTTCAATGCAGGGTAAGAAGGTGGGGGGCCATATCGTTGCTGATTCACAAGCCAAGGAGGTGGAGCCCCTGGCGCCATGTTCAAAGCATCCCTGAGTTCGTCACTGAGTTCACCAGGGCGAAGATGCTTGAGGTTGGTTTCGTACTCCTTGCCTTCATAGTAAATCTCGCCATAGCGAGTCAGCTCAGGCTTGGTCTGAAAGCGGAAAAATGCCTCGTAGAGCTTCTGGTAATCGATGTCGAGTTTCCCCATTTTCGGTTGGACTCTCTCTCGTTGCTTTTGCTTCAAAGTAGACTGCTCCTGCTTGTCCAAGGCGGCGTCGCGCATTTCAGAGATTCCTGTTTCTTGTATGAATTTTGGCAGCGCGAATGGTGCTTTCTCCACTCCTCTCTTGGACGAGAGATATTCTCGTTTGAGCGACCAGTGTGATGGAACAGGAACCACGTTGCGATGGGCTTTAATATGAATGAGAAGTCGAGGATCGGGGGCGGACGTGTCTGTCCATTCAACAATTTCTGGCTTCCTAACCATTGCCTTCAACTCTGCAACAGAGAGTTTGTTCATTTCCTTTCGTTTCTTTTTCGAGAGCTTGGGCTCATTCTCCTGCTCTTCGTCGGGAATTTCATCGCCATCATCAAAATAGACCTCGGGTTTTTCGGAATCCTTCAAAGTCGAGCTTTCCGCTGCGACTTCGTCAAACTTGCCGGCAACATCCTTGTACATCTCCCATAATGGGTCACTGGGCTCGGGAACCAGGTCGATGTCGTCAGTTGTCGTATCCTGAAGAGTAGGAAGAGGCGCGGACGGCTCCATTGGTGTCTCATCTTGAACAGGCAAAGTAGCAGCCTTTGCGGTGGTATTAGCTTTGCTCCTCTCCGTATAATATTTTCGCGATGGCTGTGGTCTCACTTCGGCCTTTTGAGCCTTTTTCTTTGCCCTTCTAAGCTGGTTCTTGCTTGGTTTCATGGTCGCTTGGGAGTTGACAGTCGCTCAACCGGCGACACGTAAAATAAAGGTTGGCAACGGTCAAGCCAGTTAAGTCAAGTCAAAATCTGGAGGGGTGTGAGAAAGCAGACTCTAATGATCAGAAACGTTGATTTGGCTGGGCAAGATATCAAATCAAAATATGCAAAGGGCAATGGTCACTGGTATACACGTGATTAGGAGCTGTTGGTATTTACCGCCTTTAAATTGCCACATTTAAGGCCTACACGTACAATACTTGAGACTTGAGACTTGAGACGTAGAGGGCTGCTCCAGAGCTTATTCCGCAGTGTTACAAAATACTAAGATCAAATGAGCCGGCACGATTCTGAATAGCAGTGGCATGAGCCATATAATATCTAGTGTACAAAAAATGAAAGACAAAATGATGGATGATGTGCCCACAGGTACCATGCTATGGAATAAAATCAGAACAGAAGGGTTTAAATAAGGTTGTAGGTGGAAATATTTCCAGGCAGAAAGGTGGAATGTCAATCCCATCCAACCATGAGGATGTTATGCGCTGACGTTCAACCGGGCCCTGGATATAGTCAAGCCATCTCAGCGGGCAAACAGATTATTTCTTCTTCTTGGCGGACCGCGATTCTATGGAGCGTTAGACTTGGGTTTCCTTGAGTATGGAGTAAGTGAAGGAAAAAGTACCTGCGGCAGTTCGTTTCTTCTTCGGCCGGCCCTTGCCTCGCAATTTGGCACTACAAGTCAATGGGTCTTAGTGGGTTCTTCACTAAGAGGCTGGGTATCAGTGCTTACATCTGAATGGCTTCTTCTCGGTCATCTTCTGCCTCATCAAATGTTGTCAATCCAAGAGGTTTGTAGGTATTTTGTAGGTCACGGAAAGACACAGTCTTCTTTGGGTACCATGCCGCAAGCGCAGGCCCTCGCAGGCGCTGCCTCAAAACTTTGTTTCCCAGTCGAAGCCGTTGTGGGTTGAAATTGAGGGAGAATATGCGGCATTGAGTCTAAATAAAGTACCTTTAATGAGTAGAGGGACAAGAGCATGGAGTGGGTAAACAGACTTTGACCAAATCCAGGATCCGACTTTGGGCCATATTTCCTCCTGCAATAAATCAAACCCGACAATGGGAGAATGAGGCAGCTGGTCACACAGCTGATAGAGAGATCTCGTCACAAATGCGCGGAGATGTCGGCTGAACTTTGCTACGGTCATGTGATCACCTGGTCAACACCGCCTACCTCTAAAATACCTGGAACAATTTCCCCAACATGCCTCGGGGCAAAGAGACAATGGACCCGACAGGGCCAAAAGAATCAAAGGCAAATCTGAAAAGGCCAAGTCCCATGTCTGATTCCGATGCTACTCAGAACCTACAGAAAAGGCCAAAGGTGATTATTATAACGTCGTCACAATTGACACCTCTTGTCGGTTCAGTGCATTGCTGACATTTCCAAAGGTACATCGCTCAGCACGGCCATTCGTGACTGGGCTTTCTATCGCCGATGATGGTAGTACAGCTATAAAGGCTAGAACCGATTCCCGTCTCCTTCTCTTGCAGCGCCTTGTTCGGGAGACTTTGGACAACCCCGACCTCACTGGTGCTGACTCGGAGGTGATGGAAGCACTCTCAAGTCTAGATGAAAAACTTCGTCAGACGAAGAATCCATTCCCCAATAAAGGTTCCACTATGACTCAGCATGCTCCAGGAGGTTGTCACTCCGATCACGATCTAAGACGAATCGATGGATTATCTACACCTGCGCTACCCTCGGTCATGGATGACAAGTTGAGAGCCGCTGTGTTTACCCATCCAGCCTTGAGCAACAATAACAACACCACCTATGACCGGCTTGAGATTCTTGGCGATGCATACATTGAGCTGATTGCAACGAAATTTGTTTGGGAGAGGTTTCCCGGCTTACCATCTGGTCGAATATCACAGATTCGGGAGATACTTGTCAAGAATGAGACCCTTTCGGGATTTGCGGAGACTTTTGGTTTCGATCGCAAGGTTGCAGTGCCTTCAAATTACAACAACCCATCGAAGAGATGGACAAAGACCAAAGGCGACGTGTTCGAGGCTTACGTTGCTGCAGTCATACTATCGGATCCGGTTAATGGATATCAAGTAGCTGAACGCTGGCTGACCAGTTTATGGATGCCAATTCTCAAAAACCTGGGGCCCCAAAAAGGCGGCTTGCGCTCTAAGGAGGCTCTCGCTAAAAAGATAATGGGTAAAAACATCAAACTTGAATATCTCGAGGAACGTTCGTCCGTCCAGCTAAAAGGTGGCACCCAAACATTCTTCATCGGCTTATACCTCACTGGGTGGGGATGGGAGAAAAGACATTTGAGCTCTGGTCAAGGCTTGAGTAAAGCGGCTGCGGGTGATGAGGCTGCGGAGAATGCTCTGCTGAACATCTCTTTAATTTCGGAGATAGTCTCGGCGAAAGAATCTCAAGAATCGAAAATGTGAGCTCCTAATGTGAGAAAAATCCATTACTCAGGTGGAAACCAAATCAATCCAAACGTTATATGCGTTGGTCAAATCAATGTGATGAACGGTAATATATGAGGTGAAATGTACTACAAATAGCACGGGCAGATATATGTATAGGGCGATATTAAAAAGACCCCCATTCCTTGATATTCGGACGCCTCTCCACCTACCTAGCCCTAATTAGTGAAGTCGTAGTATATGTTTTACCATATAATACCCGCTAGAGGACTAGTGCCGATTATAGAATCAGTCCTATAATCGACCGTAACTCTTTTAGCCGAACTAATAGCTCTTGGTAATCTATGCTAGTACCTAGTATCTAAGTTGCCTCAATAGGACTAGCCAAGGGAGTGGTATTAGATTAGGAGATACGAGAGATTAAATAAGTAGAAAAGGAGGTATTGTTAGCACCCTACTGTGAGAGCTCAGTAAAGTGGAGCGTGAACCAAAAAGGCTACTATGACTGCCTGACGCAGTCATGCTCTCACACCGTATTAAGTACGCGCTCAGCTCACGTGCCCCGACTGACCCAGTCGGCCACACGTAAGCTGTCACAGGCCCGCTAGACTTTTCCTTGAAATCTAACGCTCTTTAGGTGGTATTTGGTCTCTAACGGGAGTTTAAAGAATTTCTATAATTTAATAATTGAGATACAATCAGACATTTATATTTCTAGCTCCTAGCCAACCTAATTTTCGATACCGTAGCAATGTAGGCTTCAGATTTCGTTAAAATTAATACATAGTGTTGAAAATCCTTATCAACAGCTATCAGCAAGTAATAAATTTAATAAAATAAAAACGTGGTTGTTGAATATCAGCGTAGGATATATCGTAATTACTATGGTGTTTTGGGGTGGCCAGCTCGCTTGGGAAATACGTCATAGCCTAGATCACTATAGTTTACTTCTTATAGATTTTTCTTTCTATATAATAATATATTACCTGTATATAAATTGTACACTTAGACCTAAGTATATATATATATATGAACGTATAAAAGTAAATAAAATTAACTCTATTAAGCCTATAAACTAAACTACCTCTATATCGAGAGATCGATTACGCTCTAGATATACTTTTGCTATATACTAAGCTTATATTAGTAATATCTAAAGTAGCGACTAGAATAGAATTAGAGATACCTATAGGCTTAGGTAGCTATATTACTAGGTTAAATAAAGTATAGGAATTAGCTAGATTTTAAAGAAGATATAACCTCCGAATTCAACTATTTATAGAACTATAGTTTCGTTTATCTAGAATAAAATTAGTATATATTAGACATACAATAAAGAAAGAAATACTAACCCTTTTTTCGATATTACTTTATAATCCAATAATTATGATTTAAAGGACACTAAGTGGGGTAAATACCCTCCTTAATTATAGGTTTATTTTCCTTCTGTATCTCCTAAATGTATATTTTATATATAGATAATATATATTAGTAATAGAAATATATTAATATAAAAAGCTTACTAAAGAATCATAGTTAATAGAGCTTACTTCTAACCAACTACCTTATTATTATAAAAGTGACTACTTTAACTAATCCTACTACAATATAGAGTATTTTTCTACTATCTAGCACTGATTTTTAAAGCTTTAGACATAATTCTAGTAAGAATATAGTTAACCTTCTTATTTAGAAACCACTTCTAGGTCTCTAGCTCCGTAAGATTATCTATAATTTAGATAAATTCTATCTTAGAATTTATAGTCTAGATTAGATTAATTACCGTACTAGCTTTATAATTAGGAAATCTTTTATGAAATACCTATTTAATATATATTTAGTATAGTATTAGTACATATTATAGATACTCTAACTATATCTAGTAATGATCTAGGTTAGTAAGATAGTCTCTAGGCCCTATAAATAAATAATCTAGTTAGTATAATTTTTATATAGATTTAGTATATTAATTATATACTAGGTGCCTACTTTTTATATATGTCTACTATAATAGTATAGATACTATCACTATTATTATTACTACCTTACTAGTACTTCTATCGAACAGGCTTCTATCTAATATCGCGAAGTATCTTAAAGATCTTTTAAAAAAGAACCGGGTTTATAGGGTTTAAGGTTTGTAAAACCATAGACGTATATATTAAGACATTTTATAGTTAGTATATATTTAATATATATAAAGGATAAGATAGTTCAATACTTCTTACCTATTCGTTCTACGAAGAAATTGAAAATACTTTAGTCTATCCTGAAACTATTTTAAAAGTAGGATCTATTTTAAGATATTATGCGTTATAGAAAGGCTTAGCAGCTTACTCGTAAGTATAATACTTAGGTTAATACTCAGTCTATTTATTAAAGAAAAATACCTTACGAATCTATTACTCCTTATTATTTCTAGTAAGATTAAACTAGTACTCGCGCTATACGCTAGTAAGACTTATTTATGCCTTATAGGTAATATAACAGTCTTTATTCATAAATTAAAGCAGTTACTTTATCCTTAATATGTAAGCTCCTATCGATATAGCGAAGCGCGGAATCTCTATATTAGCTTGGATTCTTTTAAATATGGGCGAAAGTTAATTTACATAGGATAGGTTAATAAAAATGGACTTAGCATTAGAAACGATAACGTACGTATAGCTAAATCTTAGTATATCTTAAGCGTTAATTGCCTATATATTCTCGCGGCTAATATTATATAGCAGCTTTATTAGTAGTAGTAGTAGGAAATATAAATAAGACCCTTAGTATACAATTATAAAGAATAGAAATCGATTCTATAAGTAAGCAATATAAATATCCATCTTAACGGAGCACTCGGTCTTAGTTAATTTCCTAATACGATTAGCGTACACTAAATCTAGTATATATCTAGTATCTTTTGAATATATACTAAGTCTACTAAGAATTTGAACGTACTATATATAATATTAACGTCTAGCTAAATAATAGGTAATAAGTAGTAATTCCTAGTATAGCAACCTATCGCTTATATTCTATCCTTTTTACACAGAAGTGCTAAAAGCATAATTTCGACCCTTATAGCACTTCTAGATATAGGTTAGGTATAATACTAAGTCTATTTAGATAAGTTACTAGGGTAGCTAATAAAGGTGACCTAACTATAGTAAGTATATATTTTATACATAGATAGTATATAGACTTACTCCGTCCCGCTACTATATTCTTAGCTTTTATCTACTATATATTAGGGTAGCTAGATTATAGCTATATAGCCTATCAATATTCTAGGTGTAAAGGAATCTAAAGTAGAGCCTATATAAGATATTAATTAAATATATATTAAGCTTAAGAAACTATTAACCTGCTCTCTTATTTGTTGTTTAAGAACCTAGCTAATAGTCCTATATTTAGGCTTAGCGGCCTTTAACTATAGTTTGAGAAATAGTTCTAGTTTAACTTAATTATACTTTAGATATAAGTTTATAAGGCTATAGTGAACTTAATAATAGTGCTAAATCCCTATATATTAAATTGATTGATACTATAACTTTGATTCTTTATTACTAGGGCCTTTTTAGAGAAGTTTTATTCTAATTTACTTTATAGTCTTAAGATACCTTATAGAGAATTAAACTTATATTTATAAGTGATAATTCTATATATGAAGTATATCAAAATTATAGCCGATATAAGTTATATAAATATC